CATTTCATTAATATACAGCATTGCAATGTCAAGAAACTACACTTTTTTTTCTTTTCTTTTATTATCATTATTTCTTTTGAAATATTTAAAGGAAAGAAACGAACATTCTCAAATAAACGCATAATGGTGTTTTTTTCTCTCCTTTTTTATCCATAGTTAAACAGATTTAAAACTATGCTGCCTTTTGTCTTGTTCTTTTGTTGATTAATATTATCTTTCTGTAAAAAATCACCTTGTAATAAGTGCTGCATATTTTATTTTCTTACACCCACTTTCTTGAGTAATTTTTTCCCAGAAGTTTAGAAGACTACAGTCTGAAACCTTTGTATTGTACCAAAGGTCAGTAACAATTCAGGAAGACTGCAGTGATTGTAAAATAACGAAGATATATTTTTGATGAGTTAGGATCCATTAAAACATTTTAAGATATCATATAAGATGTAACAATAGTCTACAAGCTTTCAATGTCTTCAAGTACAAAAATATCAAACGATGGGAAAAGAATAAAAGCTTCAAGTCATTAAGTTTATATTATTGATTCTCAAGTGAGGCAACTGATAAAAGAAATGTTAATTTTAAAGTCATTTGAAGAATAAGCACACTTATTTGTGATGGATACATATGTGTATAACAGATTTTTGTTAACAGAAATAACCCTACCATTAAAACATTAATGATAAATTCGTCGTTGATGATTAATTAATTACTTTTTAATTGAAAAGATATGTATACTGCATTTTAACTTACCTGACTAATGACTTCTTTATCGTCTTTTGCTTAATATTGGATATTGTTTTATATTTATTTTTGACCTTTTTTATATAAAATAAATGTATATTAATTTTTTCATCATATTAAAGTCTTTATAAAACAAACAAATTATCTATGTACAATTACACAAAAAAAACCTAACATCTGTGGACTCAATTCGCATTTTCGTTGATTTGTTCAGTGTTTGCACTTTATGCATTTTCTCTGATCTAGGAATAATTTTGTAGAATAAAATGATATATTGATGTTAATCGGCCAGTTCGGTTTTGATTGAAATAGGGAAGTATATTTGCTTTTGTAAATAATCTGTATAAAGTGATACATAAGTGATGTTTTATAGAAAAAAAAATCATTTTATTTTGTGTATTTTAGAAATTTTTGACAGTTTTTTTTAGATATTAGTCAGGGTAAAAAACCTTGGTGGTGTTTTTTTTTTTGTATATGTTCCATTTCAAATTTCAAATGTGTGTTGTAAACAAGAGCTTGGTGTATATTTCTGTGTTGTAGTTGAAAAACAGAAAATAATGAAAAAGGATCCTAGAGTGATGTTGATGTGGATATCTAGTCATTTGTTAGTTATGATATTTTCATGGCCTTAACCGTTTGTTTTTTGATCAAATGATATGTTTATGTTTTTTCCTGTAACTGATTTTTACTTAAGTGCTCGAGATTGACGGGGATTACTTCCTATTTAGACTCCTTACTGATATCGATGTCTTCTCATATGTTTCACAAATCTTGAAATTAATCTTGATTCTGTAAGACTATGAGAATAAATTTCATATGTATGTAAGTTGATTCTGGCAATATATAATTGAAAACTTCCTGTCGACATGGGGATTATTATAAATTAATATCATTTCTCCAAATAAATTACAATCCATCTTATTCAATGAGAAATGAATACATAAATTTTACTGAGCTTGACTTCATATACTTGAAAATGAACATGGAAAAAAAACAGCTAAAATTTCTTAGCCTAAATTTCCCCTTTAATGATTTTTAAGTGTTTTGAATGAAGTCTTCTCCCAGTCAAAAATTCAAAGTCATCAAAAAGTTGTGAACCAAAACACCAAATAAAACTTATTAGAAATGTACAGGTAATGTTTTTCTTTATCAACTGAAATTAGATATTTTGCAAAAATGGAGGAAATTTTGGTATTATCATTTGTATGTAAATGCTATTCTAAAATGGATGGAAAATCAATATTTGATATTTAAAGGGTCTGCAAAAATGGGTGAATTTTGGGAATCAATATTTGATATTTAAAGGGTCTGCAAAAATGGGTGAATTTTGAGAATCAATATTTGATATTTAAAGGGTCTGCAAAAATGGGTGAATTTTGAGAATCAATATTTGATATTTAAAGGGTCTGCAAAAATGGGTGAATTTTGGGAATCAATATTTGATATTTAAAGGGTCTGCAAAAATGGGTGAATTTTGGGAATCAATATTTGATATTTAAAGGGTCTGCAAAAATGGGTGAATTTTGAGAATCAATATTTGATATTTAAAGGGTCTGCAAAAATGGGTGAATTTTGGGAATCAATATTTGATATTAGTTGTAGCATTTTAATTTGTCAAAATTTATATTTGTTTGTCTTTATGTTGATATTCTTCTGAAATTGTGGTAGTCTTCATTGTTTACATCTCTTCAAAGGTTAAGCACACATTTCGTTAGAAAACAAAAACAAAACAAAAAATGTTTAGATAGCCCAGTGTATAAATTTGAAGGGAAAAAAATCTAAAAATTAATACAAACGACATTGTTGAATCTGTGCTAGAATTTTTCAATATAATGATACATATTTTCTGATTATTTTTTTCCCAACAACTGATTTAATATTCAAAACCAAAATTATCATTAACATTTTTGCTATTGTTATGGTATAATCTAGTTTATTGTTTGCTGATTAAACAAAACATAACAATGTCTGAATTTTTTATTTATTTTAATTTTTTTTATGTATTATTATTGTTATGCCGCTAGTCATGGTGTGTCAATAGGCTGTTTGACTTCATCGTCAATTTCTCATCAACTAAAGGATTTTTTTTCTTATAATGTCTGACTTTCTGCAGCAAATTACTTTGGACATTTATGCCCATGGATTAATGGCCTATTGTTTTTGTGTGGTTTGTCTTGTCAACTTCACCCTTGCCCAGAACTATTACACTGTAAGATGTAAGGATTTCAGATGTGGCATGTGTGTTCTTTGTGACATTTCCCACGATACCAAATTTTTTTTTGACCTTGACCTACATTTGAAAAATTTAAATATTGGCCATTACTATTGATCATAAGGTATGGCTTTCATACTGGGCATGTGTGTACCTTCACCAAAAACTCTCTGATGTTACCAAAATTTTTGACCATGTGACCATGGACAAGTGTTTCACAAAGTGTGTATATTATTAGCACTTACCTTACAAAGTTTTAATGTCCCACTTTAGAATTTTGTTGCAACCAAGGGCATAGTGTTTCATAAACACGTCTTGTTTTTTTAATCTATTACTTTGAATATACTTAGCCTTGCTATGTCAATGGAAAATTCTGAAATCCAGACAGACAGGTTTCTGGATTGTCATTATGGAAAATCAGGGGGATTAATTTTAAATTTTATTCGCAATTCTGGAGTACAGAATCCTGATATTGACTTGTGGATAATTGTACCATTAATCAGGTTTTCCCACCATCTAGCCAGCTCTTTTCAGAGGAGACACTTCCTTATTCCAAACCAGTCTAGTAATCCAACTGCCTCCTCATCTGGAATATATCTACTAGTGTTAGAAATAAATTCAATGGATGTTAATGTTTCATTATAATCCAGTTTTATTATCTGACCCTCCAGTAGATGTACCAAGTATTTCACTTAAGTTACATATTATATTTAACATTTTACACCACGAGATATATATACTACTAGGTCTTATATATACACCATTATCAGGCATATAGGTTGTAATGATTTATAAGAAAATATACATAATGAATTCAGAAATAAAAAAAATATTGCATCATAATATTTCTCTGTGTTTATTTTATTAGTCCTTCCACTGGGAATATCTTTGGGTCATGTCTGTCTGTCTGTTCTTCTGCATAATATTGCATCATAATATTTCTCTGTGTTTATTTTATTAGTCCTTCCACTGGGAATATCTTTGGGTCATGTCTGTCTGTCTGTTCTTCTGCATAATATTGCATCATAATATTTCTCTGTGTTTATTTTATCAGTCCTTCCACTGGGAATATCTTTGGGTCATGTCTGTCTGTCTGTTCTTCTGCATAATATTGCATCATAATATTTCTCTGTGTTTATTTTATTAGTCCTTCCACTGGGAATATCTTTGGGTCATGTATGTCCGTCTGTCTGTTCTTCTGCATAATATTGCATCATAATATTTCTCTGTGTTTTATTTTATCAGTCCTTCCACTGGGAATATCTTTGGGTCATGTCTGTCTGTCTGTCTGTTCTTCTGCATAATATTGCATCATAATATTTCTCTGTGTTTATTTTATTAGTCCTTCCACTGGGAATATCTTTGGGTCATGTCTGTCTGTCTGTTCTTCTGCATAATATTGCATCATAATATTTCTCTGTGTTTATTTTATCAGTCATTCCACTGGGAATATCTTTGGGTCATGTCTGTCTGTCTGTTCTTCTGCATAATATTGCATCATAATATTTCACTGTTTATTTTATATTTACAATTGATGCCTTAGTAACCTTAGTAATGGTAAATCATATAAAACTGAATCATGTATGTGGCAAATAACAACCCCCCCCCCCCCCCCCAAAAAAGATAATATGCCTTGTTTTGTAATACCTGTCATAAGTCATGTTTCCTCTGCTATTGCCAAAGTATACAAATTCCTGTGAAACATAACATCACACAAATAATATCAATTTAATCCCCTTATTAAAGAGGACTGAAAAAAAAATTTTTAAATGGGAATTATTAAGGATATGGTTGCAATTGATATTGTGCAAACCATAAATAGAAAAAGTGATTTCAACATTTACAATTGATGCCTTAGTAACCTTAGTAATGGTAAATCATATAAAACTGGATCATGTGTGTGGCAAATAACACAACACAACACCACCACCCCCCCCCCCCCCCCAAAAAAAAAAAAAAAAAAAAAATAATATGCCTTGTTTTGTAAGAAGATTTCAACTTTAAAATACCAATGGTTTGGGAGAGGCGATGGAGAAACAAGAAAAGCATGGTGATTCATATTGTTTATTACTTACTTTCCCAGTAAAATATATATCACATTACAAGATATTGCATCCAAACTTCAGTATCACAATAGATTTTCATACAAGGATTTAAAATGGGAACCTTCTTCCTGTGAATCAGGTTTTTGAAAGTTAAAGAAACAACCTTTTTTGGTTTGTACACAACTGTGTTGCATGATGAAAACAGAAATCACAGAATATAACTCTTATCAACATCACAAAAACAAAATAATGATATTGATTTGAGACTACGAATCACAAGTCGAGTCAATACAAAAACTACGAGCAGAGGTCATGGTACATAAATTGTAGTGAACTAAGTTTACTTATTGTTATTATAGAGTAATGGACCTTGACTTGGACTTTAAGACATTGTATAACATACATTACAGATCTACCTGACATAGTTTCATACAAAATGTACTTGAAGAAATCTTGTGAGAGACTGATGACCTGACACTTACTATTAAAGAAACATGCAACTTCCATGTCTGGTCTTTATAAAACTATACAGAAATTCTACCCTGCACATGTATTAGGTATTATATGTGCACAGGGTGGTCGGTTGGCTCAGTGGTAACATACTCGCCTTTCACCTAGGCCATCCAGGATTCAATTGCTGGAATGGATGTGAAAAGGTAAGGGGTCACTTGTCCGACCACATGGGTTTTCACCGGGTACTCCGGTTTGCTCCCACAGTAAGACCCCTCACGCGCACAGCCGGGCCAACAAGTGTGATTAATACAAGTTGGAAAAGCTTGCTTTGCAATTGTTGTAAAAGAAATCAATTTCATCATTATAGTTGTACATATGTCATTTTGTCACTACCAGGAAACAAATCATTATTGCTATTAAATAGCCTCATCACTAAAACAAAAGCAGCTTCTATCAGTATGTGTTCTGTAACAACAAAATCAACTCCAGGATAACAGGATTTGAGCTATGAATAATACAGCTTAATCTTGGCATCATTTGAAGCACATGGAAGAAGCACATTAGTCTGAAATTAAGCCTCTCTCTATATATTTAATCAATTCAACCTTTAATCAACTTCTATCACAGATTTTCAGTCTCCAGTCTCTCTCTCAGATTACATCTTCATACCATGATACACTTTTTCAAGCGGTGAATATTTGTTTCCTTTCTCTCTCTCCTACTTTATCGCTTCTCTTCAAATACAGTGAAATAAACATGCCTCTCTCTCAAAATAAAACTGAACAGACATTGCTACTTCTATCTCTTTTCAGTTACAAGTAAATAGCATTTGTCATTCATTTCTTACTCTCTGAACACATCTTATTGACAATGTTTCTCATCATTTAAGCAACATGGTTTGTATATCTGTACTCAATACATATTTCTCAAGTTCTTAGCAGACCAAGATATGGGTACATTTGTATAGCATACAAACAAATAATGAAAATATTCAATCATTAATATCTTTTGATGGAAGTGAATCCATCATCAGAATGGTTTAAATGTAGACTTGAAATAACCCAAATGTACCGTTCAAAAAATAGTCTGTATTTAAAACTCCTACCATCAATTTTATGCCAAATTTTTTTAAGCACTACAAAATACACTTATTTCTGAATCTTTTAAATGTCTTTTAACTTATTCCTAAATCAACACTTGATCTTTTAAATCACTTAATTTTTATTTGATTTGATTTATTCAAATGTCAACCAAATATAGATCTCGACATGAAAAAGTATACTTCACTGTCTAAAACTTCATAAATTGTTAAATCAAGGAATCTTAAAACAGTCAGGATTTTCAGTTTCTCATCAATGATAACACTTTCTGAATGACTTTTTATCTTTCATCCAAAGTGGATTGACACATCTAATTGTTGGTGAATTTCAGAGCAAGGTTCTAGTCATAGATCTGGACAAATGCACTCTTTTCATGCTTACGTTCCACAAATTCTGAAATCAAAGCAAATGTAGATAAATATCATGCAGGATTAAAAAGCAGTACAAACATTTACTTGATATTTTAAAACTATCAAATTTGAATGTAATATATGTTTATATTATTTGTCAACTTGAAACGTGTCTTGGTGCCATAATGCTCAATTCTATTACTTGTAAACCAACTCCCCAACCTCTGCCTCCTTCCCATCCATAATATAATCCTACCAAGCAAAGTCCAACTTTTTTCATTTGTTTCAAATCCTTACACATACTTGTCAAAACTGACATTAACTCCATAATAAATATGTAATTACCTGGCACCATATATTTGTATGAAAACCTGCCCTCGACTCGAACTTACCATCAGAGAAGGCAAGCTGTACCAGACGATCCACAGTTCTACTTTGTCTGTGTGAAAGCTTACTGTTACGAAACATGGTCAGGTTCTGCTGGGCTGCCACACACTCTGTTTCTGTTTTATAAAAAGACAAGGGCATTTATATTAAGATTTATCCCACAGTTCCATATGATTTGTTGATGTTATCTTTGAGAGATCAATGGATTCCATTGCTGATGTAATATTGTAAAATTCTTAATATCATGTCATATTAATCGTCTTGTAACCTCACACAAACATTAAAGAAGGGGATACATTCTACTGGTTAGACAAGAAAATCTTGCATCATTAAAAGTGTAGGTACACGTGTCCAAGGCAGGAAATTCACTTATATGTGATGTGGAGTATTATGCATACATGGCTGAGTGAAGAGGAGGAATATTTCTGCCCAGTGAAAATTGTTGCTTCGGGAGCTGAAATAAGGTCTGATTATTGGGGAAGTAATAATGAATAGTAAGTTTTACTGACTTCTAAAAAGTGTGATATAGTTATATTTTCCACTGACCTTTTGGAAAGTGTGAAGGTCACAGATTATGTTTAAGAGTGATATTGACCTCATTTCAACCTCTAGATATATAGGATACATGTGTCCTAGTTATGTAGAACCACAATCCCACAAACTGTGCACTCAAATATTATATAACGGCTTCATTTATTTGATGACATTATAAGAAAAAGCTTGTCAAAAAACTTATCTAACAAACACCTGAACAGGTACCTGTGCAATTTATTTACAACATTTGGCAGCAGCAGCTTGCTATAGTTTACTAGATAATTTTCTTGCCTACTAAGAAGAGTGCAAGCATTCACCTACTGATATCTTGTGAGGTCAAATAACACATGTTGTCAGACTTTCCTGTGTCCATGAATACTATAATGCCACACAAATATGTTGTATTTACCAAATTCTGTTTTCTTCTCCTGTGGAGAGTTCTGGAATTTCTCTAAGTAGTCAAGAAGGAGGTCGAAGTTTGCGTCCAGAAGTTCCCCAACTTTATCAAGGTCGTTGAACTGTGTCACCGTAACCAGGTGAAGGACTGTGGTACATATCTATAAATATCAACATAAGCTGATGTAAGCAGGCTTTACAACATGTTTTTTCGTCTATAAAATAAGCTGCATCGGTATATAAACCGAAAGCCCAACCACGGAGTAAAAAAGATGCGGCTCATAACCCAGAAAATATGGTATATCTGTCCTTGTAAGGTAAAGTGAGATATAATAACATAGATATAGATATATATATATAAAACATTGCATGAACCTTTTCAAAAATGTCGTTTTCTGAAAAATTCATTAAAGCAGCTCAAAGGACAATGACAAAGCACATATTTTTATTCACATCTGACCTCATTTATCTACATCTGACCTCATTTATCTACATCTGACCTGATTGTTGAGATTTCCTCTGTACTTATATTCTGCAAAATCTGTGATTTCCTCAGCAGTCTGTAGACTTTGGATGAGTGCCTCCCACACTGACAGAAACAGGGTAATATCTCCATATTGATCACGATCACCCGGCGAACCAAGGGCCAGAGCAGCATTGATTCGAACCTTGAAGTTTTTACAGTCCCGGACAACTCCACACAAGGCTAGAATGATGTCTCGCTGTAGTGATTGATATAATTCATAACAAAATTAATTTGACTTGCTGCCTTGTGTACTAATCCAACAATGTTGGCAAATAGCATCATTTATATAATGAATGTTTTCTAAACATCTTACTGAGATGAAAAAAATCAATTGATTCAAGTGATCCTTACAAATCAAATTTGTCAATGTTTTTTGTGTTCCTCACAAAATAAACATAATTTTTTGGTGCTCCTTACTGATGTATAACAATTTTTTTGTATTCCTTACGGATGTACCATCATATTTTGTATTTCTTTTAAATCTGTCATTTTTTTGTTTGTAACCTTTAATTTAATGAGTTAACAATCTTCATTTCATCACTTTTTGTCATCAAAGTCTTTTTAACTAAATAAAACACAGATAGACACTGGATGTCCTTTGAAAAGCTGAATATCTCTCTCTAAAATAACCAAGCTTTGATCTACCGGTGACTGACACTTACATATATATCTAAATATATTTAATTTGTTACAACCACATAGCATGTACCTGTTTTTCTAAATATCAACTCCTTAACAAAAAGCATGTGACACTAAAACTTCACTTCTTTTTATCTTTCTATTGAATAACATGACATTTGATTTTCAAAAATGCTCAATTTCTCATTTTCATTATACTAGATTTCAGATTCTTCAGCTGTGTTGTAAATCTGAACTGACTCATCCACATTTTTAAGGAGAATGGAAATGAACACCTACCATCCATTCAGTGCTGGCCTGATTCAGTAATGTATTTTTGAACAAGTTACTGACAGCATAGCAGGCATTCCACCGCACCTAGACACACAGACAACAATGCATTAAATCATACTTTAGGTTATATTCCATACTAGTAATATTTAATGCAGTATTCATTTAATGTAGGCAGTAATCAAGGCAAGTCATATTCAGTGTAAACAGTCATGTGCAATATCAGTCATATCCAAATACATGGACATCTTACTGAATATAAGTCATACCCGATAATCATTGGAGACAAAAGAAACATGTGAAGTTGTTACATTTCTTCCTATTTTGAATTTTTTTTCATATTATGAGGACATTACTTCAACACCAAAACTTAAAATACATTTAATATTTGAGGTCAACTGAGGATACAGATTAAATTTGATAAATAAAATCAATCCTGTCAGGATATCCAGAGATTACAATTACCTTCATAGTACCAGAGCTTATGTTTTTCACTAAAGCCTTTACACCTTCCTCCACAGGTATCTTAAACGTACATTTTTCTGTAAGGTAAAACCACTCGCATTAATTATAGTTTTTTGAAGTCTGTAACTCATGACTACCTCTACTCCCATGCATATTTAGTATACCAGGTGATTTTTAGATAAACAAGAATTAGTCAAATACGACCATTGACACTTTCACCTTAACTGATCACCACCTAAATTTAAGGTGTACAATGTGATATTTTGATAATAAAGGGTAAATATGAACGGGTGTTATTTTTGCTATTTTACTATTTTGAAAAAAAGATCCTCTGAAATTATAATTAATTAAAGCAAACAACAATCATGTTCATACTTTCTACAAAAACAATTAATTTTGCATCAAGTTTCAGAAAAAAATTTTAACAATTGAAAAAAACAACCTTTACAGTATTAAGCATGGTCTTAATGCAAGACAAAAAGTAATGTGAGAGAAAAGTTGTGAACTGCCTGGTAGGCTTATTAATAAACAGTGAATGTTAATTTTAATGGATAGGCTTACCTAGACTACTTCTAGGGAGATACCTCATCAGGTTACCAAGGGCACGAACAGCATTAGAGCGAACTTTATCACTGTCCTGACAGGCTCGCGTTGCCGTGGTGAAAAGCTTCTGTAGCAACATGTTAGAGAAGTCCTGAAGGAACTGGACATCACCCTCCGTCCTGGAAACAAGATACAAGATAAATGTCTAGAGAATACATAATATAATACTTTTACACACTAAAATGTACTTTTAGAACTGACTTCTAGGTTAAGTTCTCTGAATAAATCTATGGGATATAAATGTGTGGGGAACTGATCATTTTGAATCAATGAAGAAACCACAGAGCTTAAAAAAACAAAAAGGAGAGATTTATAAGCTTTCAGCAATTTTCTGAAGTATTCTTAGATTATTTGTCAGTTTAACTAAACCTTTCATAAAATATACTTCAGATGTGAAATACTGAAGCTTTCATCATCTTTATTTTTCATAATCAATTTGATCACTTTAACATATCAAACCAGTTTTCACTGTAATTATAAAAGAGAAATGTTTAAGCCTAAATCCTCAATACTCCAGGAGTTATGATCGCTATTGCTCTCTGCACTCCTGGAACATTTCATGGCAAAATTGAAGGTTCCTTGTGCGACACCTTGTGGATAAGATGAGGAGACTAGTTTGATCCTTTGATGTACACCATACAAATCTCGAGGTCGTGTAACAGTATACTGTAATGGCTGTTTCATGACAGTAAATTGATGCAAATTTGTTGAAATACAGAAATCATGAGATTGAGATGGTTGCTGTAACATTGTGGCTCTCAAGATTCACAATTCAGAAAAGTTAATCTATACTAGGAATGGAATATATTATGACTAACTTGTTGAGTACTAAAGCATCACAGAGGTTGGCCAGCGACCATGCAGTCTTCAGACGCACATTCAGACTTGAGTCAGTCATACTTTTCAGAATGGAGTTGGCAGCATCAGCAATGAAAGATACATCCTGAAAAATAAATTACATTCAAGGTGAGAATCTAAATAAATACAGAATTAGTTATACAGAAAGACTAGAATAAAAGTTAATAAGCTATAAGCTGTATCAACATCAATATTCACATTCCTGATATGGTATGGTAGCTTGGTAGCTAAAAATAGTTGTCTTAAAATGATTGCTTTCATAATTTATGGGTACAACACAAAATCTAAATACCTTTCTTCCTTCTCTGAAAGTTTTTTGACATAATTTCTATTTCTGCTTTTTTAAATAATTTTTTTTTTACAGAAATAGCCAAAATCGAAATTTGGAAGCAAAACAGTTACATTTTTTCTGAAAAAAGAAATGTACTGAAGTACATGTACCAATGTTTCCAATAAGTAATACACTATTGGAGGAACTATTGTTGTGAAATTTGAATTATGATAGAGGATTTATATTACAAACCTCTCTCAGGCAAGGGTACAGGACATACACCCCTACAGCCCTGACAGCAGCTGATCGTACGATCCTGTCATCACCAGATGTCAGGCCCAGCACCAGTGTTATACACAGAATTCTCTTGTCCATCTGAAAAATATTACCATAAAAACCATGTATTATGCACAGTTTTCCTTGAGAATTTAAAGGTCCTCAGGATAGGCATATTACATAACTTAGGATTTTTCAATTTTTTTCTGCAAAAAGATCAAAGATTCTGCAAGGCTGCCATCATTGATTTTCAGAATTGTCTGGTACGTAAAACTGGTATTAAAAGCAGTGGTTTATCCTGTGAGTGCAAAACAAATTGTAAAATTATAGTAAAACAAGTTTATAATGAATCTCTGAAGACCAAGAGAATCAGTTCCTTATATACATTACATTGTAGTCTGTTATACACTTATAACAAAAAAAGGGGAAATATTGCATGAGTCGTTCATTATAAGAAAATAAGGAAACAACAATACGACTGAAAGGCAAAATTTTATTTGTTTCTAACCACAGCACTTTCCCCATTACTGAACAACACACAACATCATGTTCCAACTAGCCAGTGTTAGATTTGAAGTCATTGCCTCAAAAATGTTTTGCAAATTCAATAGATTTTGCCTCTACTATAGGTCCAGATAACAAAATATTTTGATTCCTTTTTCTATAAACCATTGATACAGATTTTAAGAGATTTTATTACTATAAGTCCATGAGCTGTTTAGTATCTACACTGGAATTAATTTCAGATAAATGTGCAAATTTGAAGTAAATAAGTTTTTCCTAAATCAAATTTTCTTCCTACTGTAAATTTAACAGTGTCAAAAATGGCAAGAGAAAACCTAAGATTTCATTTCAATGTCCAAGTGCTTGTGAATTTTCTCTGTGGGGAAGTGAAGGGTAGTTATTTTGCCAGAAAAAAACTGACCAAAAATGTCTCTAATAGGATTGTTACTTTTTGTAAATTTGGTCAGTTGACATGTCCTAGTGTAAACAACAGTTTCCGAATAAAAAGGTTAAAAGGTTTCCTTACTGATAAAATAGCAAACACTTCTGGGCCGACATTTGATATACAGTCACATGCTGTAGCTCGGACAGCGTTGTTTGCCTCGGTCTGTAATATGTTGGGTAAGGGTCCCATCAGCATGAAAACCCAGAACTCCTTTGCCTAGAGAAGAAAACACAATCAAATTCACATAAAAATTAAATTTTCTTCAAAAATCGTCCTCAGTTTATTTGGCTGGCTGAAGATGTTTATGAAACTTGTCTGCTAAGAATACACAATACTGTGGTATTAAGTTCATTAAATACTCTTTATAAAAGTTAACATAAAGCAACATATTAGAGTCTCACAGAGAACAGAAATCACAGATATTGTAGTCAATATCATACTGCTGAAGTTAAGTATTGTACTCTCAGTATATAAATGCATGTATAACTATAATGCTACTGTCTCAATATCAACAAGGACATAGTCAATCAAAATAAGATTTTATTTATCTTAACTGTATCAACTGGGTATATATACAAAGGCAACACATCAAATTATACTGAAATTTAACAAAAGAAAATTGTGTATCTCCTCTTTTAAAGCTAGATATGATGCCCCAGACCATGACCGTGATTTTTGTTTTAAAATAGGATGCTGACACTGACCATAACCTTGAAACTTTTTTTTCAAAAAGGATGCTGACACTGACCATGACCTTGTCAACTGACCATGACCTTGTAACTTAATTCTTCAATAATATGCTGACTCTGTCCATGACTTTAGAAACTTTTTTTTGAAGTTTCTTACTAAGATTATTCAACATTTATTCAATATAAAGAGATGTAAAAGCTTTGATGTCATTAATTCCTATTTATCTCTCACCATGTCTACATTGACTCTGTTCTCTGGTCCATCCTTCTGAGCTACCTGTACATCTTGTAGTATTACTTGTGTCAACACATCCAGCAGCTGAAACACAGATTCCAAATAATAAATTGACAATACAGTTGACACTCATTATCTCAAAATTCAAGGGACCGTCGAAAATATTTTGACTTATCTGTATTTCGACGGAAATGAAGTGTATAAATAAGGTTGACGATGTCAGTTTCCTGACATTGATAACAGTTGAATGAAGTAGGGCTACAATAGCATGCAAACAGCACAGTTTAACTTGATATTTGAAATGGCAGTAAACAAACAAATGGATTTATCCTACTTTCTCATATTCTCATTTTTTGTTCATACAAATAACAAAACATGTAATAACAACTCCAATCAAATGCAATTGTACTGACATTGTTCTAACCCGTGTACAATATTCAATACCCTTACAAACCAAGCATATATACATCACATATATTTTACAGAAAGACATAAAACGAAATTAAAATTTGCTTCTGATATGCTACATGTAGGGATGTATGAATCCACAGATCATATCAATACGACTTCATTATCAATAAATAAACATACGGGTATGAAAAATGTGGCACTAGAAAGGTTTTACCTGTTACAGAAAACATTGTACAAGCTCTAGACCTAACAAATCACACACTGATATAGACTCTATCAAAGAAAAATAGTTTCAGCACTTTATTGTCCAAACACTAAATCTGACAAAGTGCCCGATCACAGTCCTTTAGTTTAACAAGCTCGAAATTAGTTTCTTTTGGACGTGTGGGGATACGATTTCATCAAGAAGTTTGTACTGGTTTGACAGTTCCATTTTAATCAATTTTATGAACTATATTTTAACATACAGGTAAGTCACTGCTACAGGATGGTGACACTGATTAATAAGCCAACCTTTAATTGGATAACTAAACTGGTAGTTAATTGCCAGTGACCAAGTTGTGTGCATGATGGATTGATACGCTGTAACTAGCCATGTGTTATGCACAGGTGACCTTCTACTCTTGTGTATATATTGACCCATTTCGTCAGTAGACATGCCAATGTTTTGACAAAATTTAATTTTGATACAACAAATTACCTTTCCCCTGCTTTACAATTAAGGAACTGAAAAATTGCTTTGACTCAAACGAAATTTTGACTCAATGAAATTTGAGTCATCCGCACTAAAATTACAAAGATATAGAAGGGAAAAAATCAGGACTTGAAAATTATTTTTATTCAAACAGAATTTTGACTCAAGCGACTTTGAGACAACCAGTTTCAAATGTGTTTTGTTTCAGAAACAAATAATAAGAAGAGTTTCCCACAGAAAATTGGGAGTGACAAAGTTCTTGATGACATAAAAGTTCACTGAAACATACACAATATTGCAAGATGTAACTTTTGAATTCTATATTCTAGAAACACTATTGCTTACCTTGATTGTATGTAACCTGACCACCTGGTCTGAGTCCTGCATACACTTGTGTATTAAATCCCTCAGTACAGCCAAACTGTTCCTGAAACAAGATATTTACTCTCTGTTATTTACTAACATCATTTTCAATCGTACATTTGGAATGATAAATAGATTTGGCTTGAAAGGAAAGAGAACATATTCTTTTGTGACATTATCTTTCATCCTCAAAAATAGCAAAAATTAGAACACCTAAAAAACAGAACATGTAGTATTGGTATTCATATTTGATTATTTCATCATCCTGGTATGTACAAAAAGTTGAGAGCTAACAACCCAGCAAGGGCTACAATATTCAACTTCACCCAAACAAATGTTACCTACCTGATGATAGGGAAGTAGCCTTTGGTGAGGTGAGCCAGTACTTGAAGGGACTCCAGTCTAACAGGAAGTGGTTCAAAATGAGGCTCTGATCTGTCGCCATGGTGATCTGTGAAAGGCAGTATGTTCTTCATGCAAAGTTTGATCAACCATGAAGTGTCTCGAGCATGCGCCTGTAGTAATTTGTCCGAGAACACAGGAGTTAATGTCCCAGGGGATGTTAACCCTGAACCTTGACCTACAGGTGGGGTCACATTCCCTGGAGATTTGTTTTTGACTAGTCCATCATTTGAAGAATTTCCAAATTTCAAATTGTCAGAATTATCTGAAGAATGGTTTCCTTGGTTACTATTAAGTTCAGGTTCTGATTGGCTGTTTGAAACCCCTGGTTGTTGATTGGTAGTTGACGATTGCGACATGGATGCTGAGAGTGGAGGTCTGGACGGCTGAATGATGTGACAAATCTCCATCAGTGGTGGCTGGATTGCAGCTACTGCTCCAAAACACGTTAGACATGCTACTCGCACATTTGGATCTGTAACAAGTTCATGTGTAGTGATATTAAGCTGATAATGTGAATCAAGCGAATCAAAAATACTGTTTAAGATTTTCAATTGAAATTCCATTGCTCTAATGATTGTAAGTCTGATATTTCACTAAATACAATCTCTAAATTTACATACTGAATCATGTACAATCAAATTTTAGCACTTAACCACTTTTGGGGAAATTAGCACAATAAATAACTTGAACGTACAAAATCATTCCTATATAAATATGCAGAAACTGTTCTATTTTAGCACAATACTTTCAATGTGAAAAGAACTAAATTATATTAAATTAAGTAAGCATCCTCTGTAATGACTGTATATGTAGCCATCTATTACTCCTGGTGTAGATAGAGGGGCCACTGATGAAGTCATGATCTACTCTCATTTTTGTATAAATGATCTAATGAGAATATTTAAACACCTTCAAAACTTTCATGGCAGCATAATTTCAAAAATAACTTTGGTTTTGCAATATTATGTCTTTATTTATCATTTTTCACTAAAAGGTTAACATTTGTACTATCTATTGGTAAGATGATCACAATTATTAAAGTTTTTGCCATTACGGGATTCCAGGCTCTGATGGACACTTAATAACTGTTTCCATCTTAGGTAATGTTATGGTTAAAGAAATTACATACCAACTTGATCAGTCTTGAGGGTCATCCAGACTCCAGTGTACTTATCTATGTGATTGAGAAAGTTTTGAGCCAGTTTGATCACTCTGGAGAGTAGTTCACACTCCAGTGCACTTACCTGTGTGGTTGAGAAAAATTCAGACTAGCTTGATTAATCTGGAGAGTAGTCCAGACTCCAGAGTAATTACATCTGTGTTAGAGGAAGTTTCAAACCAGTCTGATCACTCTGGAAAGTTTTCACAACTCCAGTGTACTTACCTCTGTGGTTGAGAAAGTTTCGGACCAACTTGATTACTCTAGAGAGTAGTCCTGGCTTCATCCTTTGGTATGGTACATTACTGATCAGGATTGCTATACACTAGAGGACAGAAAATTTTATATATTGACATCAATCAACAATGATCGCAATAAGATTCAATTTCTAGAAATCAATAAGGGGGATTCTTGATTTGAACTTAACTGATCTCATTTTGCAGTTTGAATAAAATCTGGACAATCCATTTTTTGATATCATAATATTGTATGCATTTGGCCATGTATCAAAGTTATTACTGAATATTAATATCAAAATGTATTCCTTGAATTATTTTACCAAATGACTTACTCAAATGAATAATTTAACATTACATAACTGACTTAGTTAAAAACAATCCTCATCTAAATTTTTGATTTGTTAAATTCTGTGAACCCATGAATTAAAATTTTTTAAACAAGTGATCTGTTTTCTATGAATTTGTTTCGATATCTCAAGGCAGACATGCACTGGAATAAAATGTCTGTTTTTCCCACATTTGAGTCATCAGTTTTGGATCCAGTATCCAGTTGTTGATATGTGATGACAGTGGCAGTGCTACTACTGACCTTGATAAGCTGTGTGAGGGTGAGGGGGTAATTTTCTGACACTAGAGCCAACAACAAACAGCGATGCAATTCCCTGATAGTCGATCCAAGAATGGAGGAGAATGGAGTGAAGGCTGTTGTCTGTTCACTGTAGGAAAATAAGGATCAAAGGATTAAGGACTAAACAGGCATTTTACTGACAAAGCCTGAGTAATGTAAAGAAATCTGACTAAGCATTGGGATTTAGCTAGAGATTTTACATGTACATCCATTTATAAACCAAAGTATTCCTTCAGCAGAGAATATCTACAATCTCATCATATCAATTAGAAAACTGAATCTATAAATAAATCATATCTAGTATGATTTATATACACATAAACTAAGCATGGTATCCTTCTTGAGTGTAGAACTTCCAATCAGCAGTAACAAGTAAGGGCTAATATAGTAAAACATCTACATAGTATTCTATCCCAGGACTGACTCCAGGCTTTGCCATGGGAGCATATACCAAACAAGCAATTTCAATGATAATCTGTATAGAAGTAAACCGAGCTTCGGATAATGATAGTTTATTTTGGAATCTTTGAGATGAATACCAGGTACATGTAAAAGTTTTATTTGAATAGCCCTATTTAAACATTTGGCAAGTTTCATATTTTCTTTTATTTTTTTATTTTCTACTAATTCGGCTCTCTAACCTAACCCAAAATCAAACATGAATGATATCATGCACAACTAATTTAATAGATGTTGTTAGCAACCATACAAATGTGATGGTAATTAAATCATTTCTATCAAATAAATACACACAAATATTATTTCAGATGCTTTAAAATTCCAAAGGCTTTTAAATTAAGCAGCACAATGAATTTCAGATCTGGTAATCAATAGCATTTTGTCTTTTAAAGAAATTCCACGAAAAGCAAAGGATTCCCTAAATGCTGTAAAAACTCACTTAAAGTATCAAAATTTGGCCATCAGCAGCAAATTAATTTCAGATCCAGGTCAAAATTAAACTCCAATGTGTAAATAATAATATACAAGTTATTCAATATCTGCATGAATTCATGTTTTTCACAAGAGAATGTTAGAGAGTTTCAAATCCTATCTTCAACAAGTTCTGAATAGTGAGAGTGCCAAAACAGAGATGGTAGCCCAAGCTGGTACAGTAGTGCAAGGAAGTCTCTTTGCAAATAAAAACAGCAACATTGTATTTGTATTGAATATGACACAAAATCTGTTGTAACTGAAAGAATATTACAAACCTGTCCTCTGCTGCAGCGAGGAATGTCTTCGTTCCATCTACAAGGGCAGTCAGTGCTGCGAGCGCTCCCATACGACACTGGAACATGTATACAATGTTTTATCAACTATAGTTCTCAACAGTTCACAAAAGCCAACATTACACTTTGTAAACAATCATCATACCTTCATGATTCCTCATAGAAATATCATCATTTATCACATCATAGACCTATTATCCAATGAATTTGCCATGTAATGCTTTTGTCACTTGTGTAATATACCCTGGGGGTATTTTCATTTGCTGTACCAATCTAACTTATTATTTCATAATATGGACAATGATAATATGTCAAAGACTGAAAATGGCACAACAAAGAGGCTGCCTCTATTTCATTTTTGTTTTCCACAACATTAATTCATGGCTGAGTATTGTGATAAAAAGTATCATATATGTATTTTCATTTCATATCAGATTTGTCTTGAAATTTTCAATCTTTGCTCTTCAAGGCTAGCAAAAAGCACAAATTAAAACCTTCTGATGATTGATTAATAAAATCTCATAGAAAAGAAAACTCATTAAAGATCCCATATACATGAAATGTGAACAGAGATGGCAAACAGTTTCTTAAAGTATTAAATCATAAGAAAGGGAATCTTTGACCTGAAGTTATCTACCTTTGGTGATGGATCTTTAAGTATAATAGTGAAGAGAGTCTGAACTTGTGGACTGTTTCCTGCTGCACTGGAGTCCGGAATAAAACATGACCAGTATCCAAACATCAAACGACGGTCAGTGGTCTGTACAAAAATTAATATTGAAAAGATGGTTGACATTCTGATTTTACTTAAATATAGTGGGGTATAGAATTTGCCCATTTACAACAATTTCCACTGCTAGAAGTCTAAACATAAGCACTGATCTTTTACAGTGAACTTTCAAATTTGATTATTAGGACTGATACAGCGCAAAAATGCAAAAATAACCAGAAAGTACATTTTAATAAGTATTCTACTTCCTCAAAACCTAAGCACCACTGGCAAAATGAGTTCAAAGAGTTTAAGGATTTTATTGAAATTCAATCTGATTACATCATTATTACAGGGTTTAAAATGAGTCTCCATGCATAAATTTGGCATCGAAAAACAATTCATGACCTACATCCTGATCCAAATCAACTTGACTGGAAAGTGAACTGAGCTTTTACATCGTCAATAGGTGAAAAGAGTGTTTTGATTAGTTAAAAACATATGAGTGAAAAAACAAATTGTGTAGATCTTCGTTTTTGTTGAATTTTTATTGATATTCGATAATGACATCACTTTTAGACTCCAATTACTTTAGAATGAGGATAGCATGTTTGCTTATATGCATATATAATGAATTTTCTCCTTTTAACATTTGAATTTGTCTTGTGTTAAAACCAAAATTAATGATATAATCTCCATAAAAACAAGCATAATATTCCCTAAATATAACAAAGGACTGAATTTTACGTACAACTTCTGATCCAACAAACTTGTGATACCAACCTTTATCACAGTATGTAAACAGGCCAGGGCACACTGCCTGACCTTTGTGTGGTATGACCTCATTCTTGAACCTTGACCTCCATCAGTGTCCGAATAATCTGAATCAGAACTACTAATCTTTGCCCAGACTGGCCTGTTGTCAACTGGTACTTCTAATCCAGCAGTCATTGATGACCCTTGACCTTCACTGTGAACAACATCTCCATCTAAGGTCAATGTCTTCTCATCACCATCCTGATATTTACTCTGTTTCTCTGGTGATTTCTTTGCTTTTTTCTTTTTTGTTTTTTTACTAGTTTGTGACCTAGCTGTACCCTGGGTGTCCTCTTCTGTTTTTTGGTCCCCTTGTGCAGCTGCTTGTTTGAAAGGTGGCACAGCATATTGACTAAGAGGTGTGGGGTAGAGTCGCTCAGGAACACTCACTGGCAAACTGGACACACCATGAAACATGTAGGTCTAAATTTCGAAAAGACATAAAAAAAAAAAACAATACTGTATAAAAAAACAATAATGGATGATATCGGAAAGCTATAAATGCATTTGCTGCAAGAAAAGTAAATGTGCATCACTGGAAAATTTGGAAAGGATCATGGAGACCTTGGGTCACTCTCCTTGAGGAATTATTTTTCATCTGCAGAATGGATAAAGTTTAACTCTTGGCAGTGTAATTATTATCCTGGTAAGATGAAAAATTAAATCATTAAAGCTGAACATTTCTGGTCACTAAACAATAAACGGAAGCATTTTTGATATAAACACAGCCTTATTGCAGAAAATTTAAAATATGATGCCAAATAAAATTCATTACAATACACCAGAAACAGTTTATATACAGTATTGTGATTTTAATGATATTTCAAATCAATTTCCCATCAACATGATTTTAGATTAATGACTTGATAAACTGACTTACTCGGACTCCAGCTAGTAGATAGCCAAGCTGATCTGTTGGCATCACCTTGGAGGCTGCCAACAGATTCTGTAGACCTCGTAACGCACAAATCAACACCTTAAATACAAAATATGATCTGATTAAGCAAAATAATTCCAAATATCAAAGTATGATTATAAAATGATGTACTAATTTCTTTTAGTATTTGCACCAAAATCTTCACATTACGAGGTAGATGCAAAAGTTACAAATCCAGAACATGTCAAAATGTAAGTTTTTCTTTCTAAAACACCTTGGTGGAACTCCATGAAAGGAGGATTAAATTCAACACTGATCCAATACCAAATATCAGTACCTTGGTACAAAATATGTGTGATGTGCCAGTGTCTTCCTTAACTTGCATCAAAATCTTAATTAGATACAAAAAAACTGAGCTCCAAAGCATGTTAATAATCCTTTAAATCAACTCTAGAAAAGGATAGTTTAAACCCCATGGGTACCTCAATTAAAATATCACTGTCCTAATGCAATTTGTTGTATTTCATCACTTGCACCAAACTCTGAACATTTAACTAGGGTTCAAATCAACTTTCTAAATTTAAGACTTAATTGCCCAACCTTGATGATGCTTCAGACATTTGAATGAAATCCATTTAAGCATTAAGAAAGAGCAGCCTTTTGAAGTAAAAATTTTGACTAACTTTCCCATTTAGAGCCCCATCCCTAGGGACTGAATCAACTTTCTGAATTTAAGATATGATAATTCACCTGCAATGATGTTTCAGATTGAATTTGATTAAAATCTACCCATGTATGAAGAAAGAGTAGCGTTTTGAAGCAAATTCTCAGTTTTGAGCACTGCCCCTAGTTCCCTTGGGGTCAAATCCACTTCCTGAATTTAAGAAATGATTCCCAAACAAAAACAATATTTCAGACCACCTTTGGTTAAATCCTTTCAAAGCATTAAGGAAGGGTAGAATTTTGCAGCAAAATTATGGACTAATGTTCCCATTATGGACCCTTTCTCCAGATCCCTAGAGGTTGAATTAATTGTCTGAGCTTAAGAGATGATTCCTCATTCACAATGATGTTTCAGACCACATTTGGTCTAAACCCATTCAAGTATTAAGGAATAGTAGCATTTTGAAGCAAAATTATGGACTAACTTTCCCATTATGGGTTTGATTCTGAGAAATAATAATGCACATGCAAAAATGTTTCATACCAAATTTAGTTGAATTCTAACAACGCATTTAGAAAAAGTAGTGTTTTTAAGCATTGTATTGTCTAACTATCCTTTGGAACTCAGGTCCCTAGTAGCTGAATCAACTTTCTGAATTCAAGAATTAATTCCCCACCCCAAACGATGTTTCAAACCAAATTTGGTTAAAATCAGCAAAGTCATTAAGCAAGAGTATTGTTTTAAAGGAAAACTTTATGTACAGTCGACGGCACGTGATGACAGACAGTGCACAATAGCAAAAGGTCATCTTGACCTTGCAGGTCAGATGACCTAAAATCTAATGGCAACACCAGAGTGACAAGGATGGAAGTGGCGAGCTTAAATACCTATTAAATACAAATATATTCTGAATCATATTGGAGTCTGCAACTATACCTAGAACCAAGTTTGATCAGAAAATATAAAAATCATTTTGGATAAGTAGATTTTTACACAAAACATCATAGTGATTATATCACCTTGCACTGCGTATTCATCTCCATCTTTGTTACTGGGACAGCATGTAGAATATTCATAAACACTTCAAAGCATGTCAAAGAGTGATGATCCTCTAGATAAGACTGGCCCGCCACTCTGTAACATTAAACACAATCAAAACTATAAATAACAAGGTGTGATGATCCTCTAGATAAGACTGGCCCGCCACTCTGTAACATTAAACATAATAAACACATCAAAACTATAAATAACAAGGTGTGATGATCCTCTAGATAAGACTGGCCCGCCACTCTGTAACATTAAACACAATCAAAATCAAAACTTTAAAAAACAATGTGATATGATCAGCTAGATAAGACTGGCCCGCCACTCTGTAACATTAAACACAATCATCAAAACTTTAAATAACAAGGTGTGATGATCCTCTAGATAAGACTGGCCCGCCACTCTGTAACATTAAACACAATCATCAAAACTATAAATAACAAGGTGTGATGATCCTCTCAAAACTATAAATAACAAGGTGTGAGACTGGCCCGCCACTCTGTAACATTAAACACAATCATCAAAACTATAAATAACAAGGTGTGATGATCCTCTAGATAAGACTGGCCCGCCACTCTGTAACATTAAACACAATCATCAAAACTATAAATAACAAGGTGTGATGATCCTCTAGATAAGACTGGCCCGCCACTCTGTAACATTAAACACAATCAAAACTATAAATAACAAGGTGTGATGATCCTCTAGATAAGACTGGCCCGCCACTCTGTAACATTAAACACAATCATCAAAACTATAAATAACAAAAAGTGATGATCGTCTAGGGAAGTCTGGCTCACCACTCAATAACATTACAAAATATGGTCATCATCCAGATATTTTAAAGATTTTGGCATTGTTCATAGGAAACTATCAGATTCTGTTAAATCAAATCATAAGCTTGGCATGGCATATTAACTAGTGATGAGACAATGATTGGATATAATCGATTATCTAATTATTTATGATGATCGACTACAATTTTTCAAAATGGATCATTGGTACCTCAATATTTTCGTATATTTCAGCAAAAAACAATATTCATATCATGCATAATAAAAACGCCAACTGGCCATAATATTCATTCTTGTGTCAATTCCAGGCAAGTGAGGTATTTTAGGTTAAAGTTACAAAAATTTAAAATATTACTGCAACAGTGAATGCTATGAATATTGAACATACAGTCAGCTGATTATGTAATTGATTAACAACCTCAGAAATGTTGTTCGATTTTAACTTATAATCAATTATGGATTTCAACTGATTTCCCATAACTAATATCAATGTATTTAAATTGGACTTACTTTATAGTCAGGTTCTCAATACACTGGATGACCCCTCGTAAGACATCCTCGTCACCTCCCTTCTCCGACAACAGTGGAATCAGTACACCATGATGTTTGTTGAGCAGTGTGTCATGGTACTGTAAGAAAACGTGTTGTGATATCACACTCTATAACTAAATAATTTTCCTGTATACTTGCAAACAACAATAAGAAAGGTAAATGACTTAATGTTATGCATTTTGACTGAAGCAAACCTTCGAATATCAGCCATATTGGATTGTGGCCCTTGGATTGAACCGGAAGAAGATGTCCTATATGTGAAAAAGACTACCTTATATGGTAATTGTAGTTAAACTTATTCTGGATTCTAACAAACATTAATTGATCTGAATATCCCATATTCTCTCTAAAAGACAATATCTGAGAATGTTATGTCAAAGTGCACACCTAGCCAAGCATCACAATGGAGATACAAGGTGCCAGCAGAAACAGTAAAAAAATTACACTGAGGGTAGATATTTTACTTCAACAGCTGAATTGGTCTGAAATCAATATGCCATCAATAATGAGGAGTCATAATAGGAGAAAAGTTGTAAAAAAACAAAAATTGTAAAAACTATATTTACAAAGCATTAAACCATGCCTTGTAATATGTCAAGCAACATCTATTCCAATTTTGTCAAAATATCAAAAAATAAAAATTTCAGATTGCCTGTAATCCAATAAATCTTTTCCTTACTTTGAGTCAAAGGTTTTGTGTTGGATTCCTAAGGTTTTATTTAAGAAGACAACTAGAGGTAACTATAGCTTTCGAAAGATCTGTGTCCTCACCTCATATAAGTGTGAAGATTCAATCTGACAAATGATATCTTAAATGCTATTTTGAATTTGATAATAACACTTTTTTGTACCTTTGTGAGTTGTCCACAGCATTCATATACCACTGCCCCCAGAGCCAATAAAATCTCTGACCGAGTCCAGGGCTGACATCTCTGTAGAGCTGATATCAGGTACTCAGTCACTAAATGCAGCGTCTGAACTGTAAGCTTCAGCTGAAATAATTTCATTAATATCATTGTATTTTTCATAATGGTCGTACACATCTAGGTTATACTGAATCAATCACTAAAACAAAAGGATGCTTTATTAAAACCAAGTCAATGAACTTTCCTTTGAAAAATATTACAAACGTAGGATGTATGGGGTATTGATATATTATACTGTTTTTAATAAGATTACATGTATTTTTATTTATTTCAGCACCCAATCCAAATGCTGAAAGTTATGACTGAAATTTTCCAAAATTCTGGAAACATCACAAATCAATATACAAAATCTGTTTACATAGTAAAAGAAATTAAACAATCTGTTTTAAGTGACAACAAATCAGATATAAATATACTGTATAAGTTATTGCGAGAAATATACATATATTCTATAATCAAATGAACCTGTAGTTTTGAAGATCTATCAATTTATTTATCATGGTCTAGAGCCAATGAATGTCAGAATTCCTGTCCTATAAAAAGTGAGAGTCACATCTGCATACTGACAGAAATTGTTGAAATAAAAAAATGACTTTTTTTCACAGTCAGACTAATTCACACTCATTAACTATACCTGCTGTTTTGCTGTAAAGTTGAAAATGGCTTGACAAATTTTAACCAGGAATCTTTCTTCATACAAAGGGACAACACTACAAAACTTTGTTATAAGTCTGTTGGCCTCCTACAAAATAAACATCCAGGAGATAAATATAAGTAATGTATTCTGACATTCAAATATTTTCCTCTAATTTACAAAATTCTTCAACATGTTTCAGTAAATAATTTTAATTAATGATTACATGTTTTTTTTTCTAATTTACGAATGACTTCTAAAATATCTGTATATACTGCAATATACCTGCTAAAATATTGAACTGGCCTAGAGATAATTGATTTTAATAATCAAGATCAACTCGAATTTGATCATTTGGAAATTAATGCAACGTTAAAACCAGACAACCCATCGTGCGTTGCCATAGATAAAGTGGTTGTGATGATAGTTATTCAGCTGTGTTTTGCGTTATGAATGATAACAATTATTGGCGAATGCAACTGTTTAGTTTAAATAACTTGTCCGATTAAAGTAATTTATAAGGCTGTTTCTGTGTTGCTAATAAACAAAAAGTCCATTTATAACTGTGACTCATTTCAGTCATCACTTTATCATCTCTGAACTATAAAAGCATACATCTTCTCTGACGATCCGTGTATAATATTCCATTGAATTAATTTCGTCCAAAAGTAAATTGAAGTTTGTTCTCGATGCTTCATCATCTTGGCGATAATGGAATCCATTCAAACGCGTGAAACACTGGAAAAATCGTTCTCTTTCAGTACCAGTGCCGTCTGCGTCCTCCATGTTGCAAATCCGGCTCACTATTTTCGAGGCTTCTTTGGTTTGTTAAATGTTCCATTAATATAAGTCTAGATGATGTCCGAATGCCAATACGGAGTTATCACTTATCATTAATGTGAGAACAAAACAAATAATAAAACAGTGATATTAAATGTTGAAGTAATGGTTATTTTTACCTTGATAAAAATTTAAAAAATGTATAATTTCAATAATATTATTGACTTATATTGATAACTTAAACAATTGTGAAGTATAACAAAATTAGCGTAATGAACACTCAATTCAATATGGCGGCGCCCATACGACTTGCCGCTTTCTGTCGCCGGGTGAGGATAGCACACCCTGTTAAACATTATAAACGATATTTATCTTTCTCTGTCAACAGAAACACTGTACCAGGAGATGATCCAGAATCCCGACAGACACATTTCGGCTATGAATCAATACCAGAACAGGATAAAGAAGAGAGGGGTAGGTTATGTAACTGATGCAATTTGACATTCAGCTGTTCAAATGTCACTTTTCCATTTTTTAGAAACATTATTTGTATTTACATGTTATATGTAAGCTTTGTACTCTTAACCGACGAAATGATTTGGCAACTTTAATCAGATCTGATTGTTTTGTTGTTCATTAAAAGATTTCAGTTATAATCGACATTGACATTTATCATATACTAATCAATGTATATATTAAAAAAATATTATATACATGTACGTGTTACCAAATACCAGCCTATTGAATAGTATCCTATGCCTCCACTTATCAAGATAACCAACTTTTTACTTTTTTCTGTCGTGGAGGTAATACAAGACATAAAGATGGGGGTGAATTTGTGTACACTGTCCCTGGCCTGATACTTGTACAAGGAAATTAAAAATCTGACATTTGGAATGAGATAATAATAAATTTCACAATCGAGTGTGAGGTACAAGTTTTCACCCTTGAAAAAATAAATCATTGATTTTAAAAAATCTTGGTATTTAAATTATTTCTTTCAAAATATCAATTTTTAAGATATTTAAATAGATTTTTGTAAAAAAAATTTGGAGATTTATTACAATTTATTTCTTCTTGAGATATTAATTATTTCTTACTTTCCTGGTACAAATATTGGGGGCAGGGATGGTGTAAACAAATTCACCCCTTCCCATATTATACAACCTTGATTCCTGTTCTGCTTCTTCTAAGAATGATCTTACACTGTAACACACGACTCATATTTATATGGAATAATAACCTTCTCACTGTAGAGAAAGCTCTGATACTCAAAGTATTGTCAATGATTGATCTGAGCTGTTCATTGCTGTTCATTTATGTATTTTTTATTTTTTTTTTTTTTTTTTTTGCAGTTTATGAAGTGTTTAAAAATGTTGCTAGCAGTTATGACTTGATGAATGACACAATGAGTATGGGTGTCCATCGAGTGTGGAAGGATAATTTTATAAACAAATTGGCACCACTTCCAGGAACACAACTACTAGACGTAGCTGGGGGCACAGGTGTGGAGACAATATTATATATACATCAAAACTGAGAATCATATAGTGCAAGCTTAACTAGTTTTTAGATTATAACAAGAGACATGTATTGTATTATATTAGTTTAATGCATTTTCTGTTGACAAGAATAATATAACATTGAACTAGTTAACCATTATAGATTAAAAATATGACATAAAAATTGGGTTTTAATTTTCATGTTTTGATCAAGATGTCAGTACATTCTAAATATCTTAAATATGGTAATGTTTTCTTTATTTTTACATGTAAATTTACATTTAAAATGTAGTGACATTTTGTTTGTTTTTACAGGTGATATTGCTTTCAGATTTTTAGAATACACAAAATATTTAGAGAAAAAACAAGGAATAACAAACACAGGATGGAGTGATGATGATTCAGACTTTGATTTAACAAAGGATATTTCAGCACAGGCTTTTGGTATTCCTGAACATTATGCAGAAGATCAAGATCTGCCAAAGTCTGATTCCTCTTCGAGCTCTTCTGAAGAAGAGGATATATCAAAAGTTACATCACCAAAAACCCACGTAACTGTCTGTGATATCAACAAAGAAATGCTGGAGGTCGGGAAAGAGAGAGCAAAGGAAATGGGTTTAGCAGAAGGTAAATATTCTGATCTACCAAAGGCAGGTATATACAAAATGTATATCAATCTGTATAAATATGTAAATGTTTATCTAGATCTTTATTAAGGAAATCGGTCAGTTTAGCTCATGAGAAAAGTTATTTCAAAGGACCAGAGAACATAGGTATATTGATTATGAAAGCCTTTGATTTTACAGTGATCATATGAATCAAACGGATATGGTCTTATTTTTGAAAAAATGAAAAATGTAGAAGTATATGATTCAGTAGGGTGAATCTTTGACTGATTAAGATTATTAAAAAGATTTATAAAATTGGCAATAGTTCTATTAAAATTTCTTGAAAATTTAATAGAAAATCAAGAATTAACATTTTTAGGATATATCAGTATATGAGAAATAGAACATATATAATTGTTATTAATAACTTGGAAGTCATATATATTTTTTAAGGATCTCTCTTTCATTATTAATTGATGATATTATATCCAGTACCTTTTTTTCATTGTACCAGGTCTGTCTTGGGTACAAGGTAATGCTGAGAGTCTGTCATTTGGGGACAACCTTTTTGATGCCTATACCATCGCATTCGGAATCCGTAACTGTACTCATATAGACAAGGTAAGACAAAGCATTTACCTCACATTTGTAATGGAAAATTTGTGTATCTATTTAACTGCATCAGTTTGAAGTGTCATCTGAAGAGTTTCATTTCTGAGATTTTTAGCCCACAATCATCAATAGTGGTTTGTTAAAATTATCCTGCATCCATGGTTGTTCCAATGTCCATTCTTAAACAATTCTTGTTATCACTGGGTTTTTTTTTCAAAATGAATAATGCCCTTTCAATTTTCAATTAACAAAATAAAAGTTGGACATGTGGTCATCTTGAATGTTCACTGTTTGTTATTGCCATCGTTTGTTGGTTTCCTTTGAGTTTTTTTATTTGTGCTGTAGATGGAGGTTTTCAAATTTAGATTTTCAGGTTTCCTTGATTTATTGCTGTCCACAATATGGTTAATTCACCTGTAAATACAACATATTAGTAAGAACAAAAAAAAGTGAAAAGACCCAACAAATAAAGAACCAACAAAGATCTCTTTGGGATCTCAAGTCTCCTTTATACACAAGAGCAACAAGAAGATTGCAGTTATCTCCCTTGTGTAACAACATCACAGCAGAACATCTCGGCCTTAATTCATGTTTTTTTCATGTGATCATCTCTTTGTTTTATGTCCTCTGACTGTAAAGGTCAAGATAACCTATAGTCATCAAGCTTAATCTGTTGTCATGTGATGTGTGTCTTCTGTAAACTTTCTCATTAAAACCTCATTCATACCCGAGTGTTCTTCAACATTGGGTCTGATTCATCAAGGGATGAGGGTTCTTAAAATTAGAATTTTGATTTGACCACTAGGGGTCGAGGGACAGAGCACCACAGGGGAAGGTGCTGAAATTAGATTTTAAACCCTACTCCTCCTTTCTACCTTGTGAGATTTCAACAAGCTTTGGACTGGTTCATCAATTAGGGAAGGCAATTATTGCTTAAATTTAGAAATTTGGTTTGACCCCTAGGGACTTAGGGGCAGGGCCCCAAAAGGAGAAATAAGACAATATTTTGATTCAAAACACTACTCCTTTTAGATGCCTGAGTAGATTTCAACTAAATTTAGTCTGAAACATTTTTGCAGGTGGCTTATCATTTCTTAAATTCAGACAGTTGATTTGATCCCTAGGGACCTGCAAGTGGGGTCCGAAATGGGATAGTAAATCATTGTTTTGCATCAAAATTCTACTCTTTCTTAATGCTTGAAAAGATTTCAACCAAATTTGGTGTGAAACATCATTGAAATTGGAGAATTATTTCATAGATTCCGAAAGTTAACTGGACCCCAAGGGACCTAGGAACAGGGTCTTAAATGGGGAAGTCAGACAAGATTTTGCTTCAAAAGGATTTTTTTCCGTAATGCTTGAATGTATTTCAACCAAATTTAGTCTAAAACATCATGGAGAGTGGGGAATCACTTCTTAAATTCAGAAAGTTTATTCAATACCTACTCAATATGAATGACTGATCCACTGGAAAGGTCACAGGGGTCAAATATGTTAAAATCTTTGAATGACTTCTTCTCAGCTACCAAAATCCTAGGTTGCTGATATTTGGCCAGTAGCATGCTAAAATGTTGGGCTACCAAATTTCTTAATATGATTTACCTTGACTTGCTTTCAAGGTCATATGTGTCAAATATGTTAATATCTTGAAATTACTTCTTCTCAAATACCAAAAAGACTAAGTTGCTGATATTGGACAAGAAGCATGCTAAAAATAGGGCTACCAAGTGTTTTAGTATAATTTACGTGACCCACTTTCAAGGTCACAGATATCAATTTCTTCTCGATAACGAAAAAGCCAAGGATGATGATATCAGGCCTATAGCATGCTAGGAGGTAGGGTTACCATCTTTGTTAATATGAATGACATTGACCCACTTTCAAAATCACAGGTATCAAATGTGTTAAAATGTCAAAATAACTTCTTTCAATAACTGAAAGGCCCAGTGTGCTGATATTGGAATATAAGGTCACAGGGGTCAAAAGTGTTGCAATGCTTAAACAACTTCTTTTCAATAACCAAAAGGCCAAGGGTCTTGATAATAGGCTGTAGCTTGCTTTCAACAAGCAATACATGTGGAGTAATGGCTGTTTTGTGGTGCATGTATAAAGAATATGATTTCAAGTTTGCAGAAACTGTCTTGATGAACTAACAATGTTTTACATGTAAGCTGTAGAGTTTGAGCAATTTATTTTAGGCCTATTTTGCTTCTTTCATATGTAGGTCTATATAGTCAGATGACCGTTAAGGCCCATGGGCCTCTTGTGTGTGTTTTTTAAATTCAAATATTCAAATTTAAAACAGTTTTCCCTAAAACAAATGATGAAATATCAAGGGTTTCTTAACATGTTGTTAAAAAGCATATACCTAGTACCTAATTTGTATGGTAAATGAAAAAGATAACGTCATGGTGATGTATATAATTTATCCTGCAACAAACACAGGGATTAAACTTAATCTCTGGCTCAGATTAGGAGGATAGGCTTATTAGAAGACAATCACATAACCCTACTAATGAGCATTTCTGCTGAACTGAAATGTATGTGAGTGGGCTTATCATCGGACATTAATCTGTTGATGGGAAAATACAAGTATAACTTTGGTATCATTTACATATCAATATAAGGTAGGTGTGTTTTTTGTATGTTCTATTGTTGTAGTTTACTGTATGAAGAGGTTTAGGATTTACTTACCAAGGAGACAAGAGTGTTGTTATATGTTGATGAGAATTCAGGTTTTAATCCTAGTCTTGTTGGTTAGGTTTTTTCTATTCACTTACATATGGTATTAATTTACCTTTAGGTGGTGGAGGAGGCGTATCGAGTTTTAAAACCAGGAGGACGATTTATGTGTTTGGAGTTTAGTCACGTTTCAAACCCACTTCTCCGCAGGTATGACAAATTTTATGGAAAGAAATATTTCGTTACACACCTAAAATTGTGGGCTAAAATGCATTATTCAGTACTACTCCTTGTTATCTAGTGATATAACAACAAATTAGAAATGAGCCTTAATGATATATAATCTATCCAGATTCCACTATCTAAATGTTAACATTTATTTTAGATTTTGCCAAATAGAGGCTCAGTATTAAAGTGCCCTCCTCAAATACCCTACCACAGACCCCACTCCTCAAATACCCTACCACAGACCCCACTCCTCAAATACCCTACCACTGACCCCACTCCTCCAATACTCTACCACTGACCCCACTCCTCCAATACCTTACCACCAACCCCACTCCTCAAATACCCTACCACTGACCCCACTCCTCCAATACCTTACCACAGACCCCACTCCTCAAATACCCTACCACAGACCCCACTCCTCAAATACCCTACCACCGACCCCACTCCTCCAATACTCTACCACTGACCCCACTCCTCCAATACCTTACCACCGACCCCACTCCTCAAATACCCTACCACTGACCCCACTCCTCCAATACCTTACCACCGACCCCACTCCTCAAATACCCTACCACTGACCCCACCCCTCCAATACCTTACCACCGACCCCACTCCTCAAATACCCTACCACTGACCCCACTCCTCCAATACCTTACCATCGACCCCACTCCTCAAATACCCTACCACTGACCCCAATCCTCCAATACTCTACCACTGACCCCCACCTTCACCCATACTCAATGTTTCTTTGACAAATCTTCTTGGAGATTTTAACTTGAATTAACAGATATTAATTAGAAATAGAAAGATGAGAATATATTTTGTGCTTTCTTTTTTAAATGCCTGATTCAAACAATTATTGTGCCAATATCTTGTGATACAATTTCTGGTTTGTTTTGACAGTGTGTATGATAACTACTCGTTCCAAGTAATACCGGTAATGGGACAAGTCTTGGCTAGGGATTGGAAGTCATACCAGTATTTAGTGGAGAGCATTCGACAGTTTCCAAACCAGGTAAATATTTTTTTTCGCTTTTTTACTTATATAAATCAGGCCGTGTTCACACTATGCTCAGTATATGGACCCATTTTTTTTTTTTTTTTTTTGTTTTGTTGGGTTTTTTTTATCTTTAACAAACTATGTGAAAGGGACATGATACATAAAAATTTGGTTTCAGGGAAAACTAAAGATCAAATGTCAGGTGCAATATTTTCGGGCAAGTATGATAAAAACAAAATTTTTTCTGTATTAATTATCAATAGATTTCTTATTGCGGACAAAGTCATTTACTCATTTGTACTTTTTTTTTATCTAGAAATCAGCTTTTGTCATGTAATAAGCCTATCCATGTATATCGTAGTTTCAGTGGACTGTGAACATTATCTTCTTTGCCTCGTGGGCTTGTCGCAGGATTACTGCAATGTCTTGCTTTTGTAATTTCATAAATATATAAGAAATTTATTAAGTGATTGTCATGAATTCTGAACTACAACTGTAAAATTCAAAATTCACAATTTTCACTTAATCCTGTTATGAACCTGTTATGAGACAACGCCTAGTCAACGGAAGAGTCAACGAGATAGAAAACCTGTAACCAACCAAACGAAAAAATCAAACAGTGGGTGAAACTATTCAGTCACAATTCAGTCAGGGCAATGGAGAAAATAGTGAGAAATTCTTGGAAATCGGAGATTGAAAACCACTTACTCATATCCGTGTTATTTGATATAGAGAAACAAGTTCATTAACAACAAGCTATGTCACAAAGGCTTAAAAATAGAACAACATAAACAAAATACCTAAAGTGCGGTTCTTCTATCTGTTACACAAATAAAAACTTGGTATCCAGGATATTGTGTTGGTAAAATTACTCAATCTCCTACATTAACTTCCCATCTGTTACACTAAATAAACAACTTGGTACCACAGTCCACTGCACACATGATCCTCTTTCATCGGTAAATCATGATTAATGATACAAAATATACTGTAGTGGACTTAATTGAAAATGTAGCAAAAGAATTCTATCTTTTGGAAAAGTACAGCTGTAATTTCTTGATTTTTAAATCAATTTTCACACAGTTGGCTGTGTATTTATAAATTGTTCTGACCGTAAAACTATAATATTTTTTACTTTTATCTGGAAAATCCTTTTTCCTTGGAAAAGCACGTAATCTCCAGGAGCTATGTTTCCTTGTTCAACAATAGATATATTCTAATAAAATACATCATTCCCTGAATGATACACATAGAAAATATTTTAATTACTTTGGCAGTGAAAAATCCTTGTGTAGTGAGAGTGAAAAATCCTTGTGTAGTGAGAGTGAAAAATCCTTTGGTAGTAAAATGTTTCTAGTATTTCATACTTTTGTCTTGTCTTGAATTTTTTTTTTTTCTAGTTCCTGAACAGTTTTCACACATGTATCCAATATTTTGTCCTCTTGAATGGACAAATGGTTCCTTTCTGACACTAGAGTTTGAATTATCCAATAAAAAATGGCTTCATACTATGAAATTTTCCTGGTTCTGTTAGATTAATTTGTCTTTGAAATTTACCTGATGATCATTAGCTGATCTTTAAGTTAAAATCTACAAATCACCTTTACAAGAATAAAATCATGGTGGAATTATGGCTGTTTAGGATAGCCAGGTTGTGGAGTGGTAACACACTCACTTTTCATCAAGGCATCTGCAGTTCGTTTCCTGGAACAGACGTGAAAAGGTTCATCAACCTGACCAAATGGGTTTTCTCTGTTTTCTTCCCATATTAAAACCCTCATGTATTTGCAACCATCCCAAAAGAGTAATTAAAAGTCGGAAAAACTTATTTCACAATTGTTTATACAATAATCAAAGTTTACAAAAAAAATCTTTGTGTTCAAAATAACGGATCACAACAGACTGATTTAAGTACTGAGCCAAGAGTTCTCTTGTACCAGGAAATACTCGCTCACAGAGATACAGATAAATTATACAGAAAACAATAATCAGGGTATTGGTGACTGACAAGGTGACTTTTTGCACTTGCTCTATCTGTTTTGTTCAAGGTGAGAGGTAGTGTGAAGGTTAATTTTCCAGATTACAAATTTTCACTATTATGCCAAAAGTTTGATATAAAAAATTGTTCAATTGCCTTTTTAGGTCATCTGACCCTAAGAGTCAAGATGACTTGTTGCTATCGTGCATTGTCTGTTGTCATGCGCTGTCTGCCATTCACCATCCTCAAACTTTTGCTTTAAAACACTATTCCGTAGCAGACTTCAACCAAATTTGGTCTGAAAAATTATTGGAGGTGGAGGATCAATTCTTAAATTCAGAAAGTTGATTCAACCCCTAGGGACCTTGGGGTAAGTGCCAGGACTCCAAAAGGGGACATTAGACAATATTTTGCTTCCAACAGTACTCCTTCTTAATGCCTTGGAAGATTTCAACAAAATTTGGCCTGAAACATTAGCATGGAGCGGCAATGATATCAAACATGCATGAAGTGATCCTGAGATTGTCCTGACAAAATCTAATTGTACGCTTTGGTCCAAAATCCAACACATCTTATCTAGAACAAATAGTCTGAATTTCTTCTCATGCTTCATTCACACAAATGAGAAAAATATTTGGAGGGATGTTTTTAAAGAAAAGAAAGAGGTGACTTGTTGTTACTTTTCAGTCTGAATATTTGTCAGACCTCCATCATTGAATTCTATGGTTTGTCCATCCATTCATCCATTGTAAGATGATGGTTAAGGATCATGGCCCTCTTGTTTACAGAAGCCAGGAACTGGACCTTTGTTTTCCTAAATGATTTTATTTTCAGTGTTTAAATTTTTTTCTTGGTTATAGTCCTTGAAAAAGTAATTAATTCAAGCCCTCAAAAATAATGCTACAACCTTTTTGATATGTAGTAAGTAAGATTTCTTATAACACCCTCACAATATCACAATAAAGCTCTTGTCGCTCGAAAACCAACAGTAACTTGTTGACATTTATATTGAAACAGTGTTTCATGTCAGTGGGCTTATTACCAGACATGGATTAAAACACAATTAATTACCAGTAAACTTCCATTCACTGAAAATGATAACAAATGTATTGAAATAAGACATTAATCAAATCAAGTGTTATGACTGTGTGCCTTTAATGTAACGTTCCTTTTCGTCACATGATTTGGGCGGTTGCTGGGCGTCCAATATACAAGATATATTTCACACACAACAATTGTTGACATTTACCTTTATACACCTTAAAGCCTAAAGCTAAAATTACCTGCAAAACAGCCTCACTTATGTTGTAGATAATCTTCACAGCCCAGTAAATCACATGGTTATCTGTATAGATATTTAACATTATATATATTTTTACATCAAATATTAAAATGATTTTAAAGCATTTGATCTAATATTGATTTTGGATGATTTCAGGAAATCTTATATGGTATACCTTTCCTGTTGGAATTTAGTATTTTTGAAAAATGTATGATATGAAAATGTGTTAAGTTAACCAGGCTTTGTTTACTGCTGTTTAACACATTTTATTCACCTGTTCACATTTGTAAGTGAAACCCTTAGTATGAAAGTACATGCAGGTACATGGTATGCTCTTGATGATAGGACAGCAGGATCCAAGGATTTACTGTATATGGGTGTGGTGGTTTGTAGGAAGGGAGACAGGGTTCCAAATTTAAGAACATTGGGCCAAGAGGAAAAAATTAATTTGAAATGAAAAATTTGGATTTGGATTTTTTTTTAATTCTAGAGAGGAGAAAACAAATCTGAAATGAAACGAGCAGTTTGGTATACATTGTGGACAAGATACTGTATGTTCAGTACTTTATGGTCTCAAAATAAAGAGAAAAAAAAACCTATTCAATATCCATTTCTGATAAATAACCAGGTTTTTTTCTCTGAGCCTGCAACAAAGTGACTCAATATTTAGATAACTAGATCAAAAGAGCAATTTTTTTGGTTTGTTTTATTTCAAATTTTATAGTTTTTTATTGAAAAATGAAAGTACTTAAAGGGAAATAATGATTAAACAAATTAGAGCTTGACTACAGACACAGAAATCATAATTACTCCATCATATTTAGTTCAATCCTTTCAATGTGCAGAAACTGCTAGCATAAGATAACGACCACCATATGTACATTTGCAGTTACCTTCTTTCGGGGATAAAATATTAAATTTTTGAAAAGAAAAAAAATCATGGTCATATATGATATTAAATACATAATGTATTCATTGATAATTTTGTTATTATTAATCTTGTTCCCATTTGAGAATATAACGATCATTCCTTGAATTAACCAAGTTTCAAATGGCAAATGTCGTTAAAGCAGTATTTTTATTTGTTGTTTTTGTAATTGTCACCAAAATGAATATAGACCATCATAATATTTTCAATCAGTTTATAAATTATACAAACAAATAATTTAAGCAAAAAATGAAAATATACAAATGCACTTTGTAATCTTTTCATGTAATTCAAAAGAGACACGATCACCATATTAACAAATTGAAAGCAGTCATTGATAAAATGTTACAGAAAATTAAATATTTTATCATATCAGATTCAGAGAAAGTACTCGGCACACATTTCTTTAACACTTTGAAGAAATTTAATGTAGATATTGACGGCTTTGATGATGGCCAAATATATAATGTATTGGCGTAGGCTTGATTGGAATGTGCTCGTGAATATATAGAAAGTATACCGCTCCCTTTTGGCCTTGTTCCAGCCTTGTTTACAATGGTACAAGTGGAATTTAATCTCTCTCTCAGTGTAAAAGTTTTCTCCGTCTTGGCAACATGAAGGGGGCTACATGCTAGTAAAATTGTAATTAAAAGCTTTAGTGATCTCCTTGAATAGCTTCCTCCAGAGATCATATCAACATAGCAAATCTTTTACTGTATAAAAACGACATTCTGTTTCAGATGATAAAAGTACTTAAATAGGTCTAGGATCTGTTTAATACATATTCCACAATTTTAATTTACAACATCAAATTTTCAGACAATGCATGTCTGAAAAAAATTACTCGAGTAAAAATGAAAAAAAGTAAATAATAGACAAAATTCTTTATCCTACTCAAGTTATAAAACCTTGTAAGTATTCATCATGATATTGGTCTTATGAAACAGAGCTCCAACAGTAAACCTGTTTTATCAAACTTCTGTGTATTTGAGCTTTTATTTCAGATATGAACCCCTTAGTATTCTGACATCCTTTCTATGCTGACTGTATTAGTGTAATAGAGGTAATTATTTATTTATGCCTCTGCTAGGAATCGAACCTGGGACCCTGGCTTACTAGTCTGACGCTCAACCAATCGAGCTAGCCGAGTGTTATATTGCGGCTAGTATTTACCAGGGTTACATACTCCCCCTCCAGAAAATAGCTCATCCTCCAGTTTCCAGGGGTTACAGCGATGCTAGTGGGGCATAACTAAGTACTATTCCTGTGTCCCTACATTGGCGCAATGTAAAAATGGTCTAAATAAGAGGCGAACGCCATTGACCGTTTAACGTCACATAGGTAAACCGGACATGTGTACACAACATATATACATGCACAAGTAGTTAAGCAGATGACGCGGAAAAAAACCGATGACGCAGCACAAAATTTATAAAAATTGACTGTGTTACATCAGTTATGAAGTATCTGAACTATGTTTCCCAAAAAAAAGACAACTTCAGATTTTCGGGATATCACAAGTAGTCTATTGTTTATTGCTTGATATTTCATAAACCTGACTCCTATTTGAGACTGTGCCTCACTAGATGAAATTAACCGAAATGTACATATAGTGGGGGTTGTCAATGAAGCAGAACATGCTTTCCACTCTGGAATCCATGGTCTTATTCTCCGTTTTACTTTTTGAAGGAGAATTGTTGCACTCGTTAATGGAGCTTTATATTAGTATTCTTAAAAGGCACTGCTTAATTTTAGAGCATGAAAACTGTACCATATTGGAGTAGTTGAAAAAGTGTAATAACTTTTTACAATTTTTCAAATATCACTGTATATTATGATAAAGAAAAAATCTGGAGAAAGAAAGTTAAGCTTAAAGCTCTCCTAACAGATCGCACCATCATTAGGACAAATATAAAAAAATTGAGGGGGATTTATCATACCAAATACAGATTGTGTTTTGTTTTCAAACACAAGACAAGATCACAGGTACTAAGGACAGGTACAGATCGCACCATCATTAGGACAAATATAGAAAAATTGAGGGGGATTTATCATACCAAATACAGATTGTGTTTTGTTTTCAAACACAAGACAAGATCACAGGTACTAAGGACAGGTACAGATCGCACCATCATTAGGACAAATATAGAAAAATTGAGGGGGATTTATCATACCAAATACAGATTGTGTTTTGTTTTCAAACACAAGACAAGATCACAGGTACTAAGTTTGCTAATGTAATTATCAGTACTTCTTGTCTGCAAGATAATTAGTGCCTTTGGATAAGATCATCTGTGAAGATATTTAGGCACTTTATAAATGTGTCAGATGCAAACTTAGCAACATAAATTATGTATCAATTGATGTTATACCAGGAGATTGCAGGGACAATTATCGCACAGAATATGGTAAAAAAAATCTTTGATAAATAAATATTCTTTGTTTTGAGTAGAAAGACATGACAAGGCACTTTTTATACTAAATACGATAAAAAAAATCTGTTATGCTAATATTCTTTTTGGTTGAAGCGAAAACAAAAATTAGAAATGTTAAATTAATTCGAATAAATCAGAGTTGGTTACCATATGTGGCCACAGTTAAAATCCTGCATCCTTATCAGAAAACCACTGGGTCATTTGCTTCAGCACTGAAATAATTAAATCAATTTATGTATATTCTGTGTTTTAGTAGAAAACTCTGGGACAATTAACATTAAGTGTTTTTGGTATGTTTCCATTATTAGATAGAATAAGGTAGTAAGTATTGCCATTCTTTGGCCAAGTAAGAGGCCAAAATCACAGGTTTTACATTTAAATGGTGAAACCACATGTCTGCACCTGTCTATCCCTTGTGCCAGCATAGCGAATGTAGGTGTTTATTTATCTTGCCAATTTTTGTTTACAAGCTTTTAGACCCACTCACAGACCAGGTTTAGTTTGTTTTTCTTGTTTACTATCAGAACTCAGAACGGTGATAATCATTTTCTTTATCAATATTCTTAGTTCTGATGTTTAATATGTCGCTATATATACATGTATATGTCCATATGCCTAGTGATATCACCATTTAGAATCCAATTCACTGGTCCTGGTCACAATTTATATTTCCTTTAAATGAAATTTTGATGTAAATTATAGTTATATCAAAATTAATTAGTTACTGGAATATATGAATAAATGAAAATGAAATGAAAGATCTTTTTTTATTTACTGCATGAAATAAAAATCTCAGTTACCTAACAGGATTACAACTGAAAGTTCATGAATTTAAGAGATATGATGAAGAATATCTCAAATAATATGTTGTTGAGAACTTAAAAAAAGAAACAAAGAAAGAAATTAAAATTTTGAGTTATAGGGTGAAAAGGGGTGGTGCAGGGATGTTGGGGGAGTGGGCAGAAGGGATGGAGTTAAATGTCCACAGACTTGGATGATGGATGGGGACGACTATGCATAAGTAACATTTCTTTTGTGTTTTTTTTATAAGTGTATGGTATTCTACAATGTCTTTTATCTTTTTTCTCTTTTCAGGAAGAATTTGCTACACTTATTAGAAAATCTGGGTTCAAAATGGTGTCCTACGAGAATTTGACTTTTGGTGTTGCTGCCATTCATTCAGGATTTAAACTCTGAGAATTCTGTAAACAAATGAGAGATTTCCGTCAACTCTAAGTGAGGTGGGGTTTGTCTGAAGTGGATCCTGTGCAAGCGGATTATGTTTTCTCTCAACTGACATTTTACTGGAATTATTTGGTTTCAGAAACAGTGTAAGGATTTTTTAATTGTTGAACACGTTTATTTATTTCTACGGTTTTGGTACCGAGGCGACATTGATGTTAATCACCAGAGTATTGAACTTTACTGTTGAAATATTGTTTATCTTAATGTATTACAAATATGATCTCTGAAGATCTGATTTTTTATATTTATCCGACAATAATGCCATGGATCCAAGCTATCACTTCTTACTCAAAGTCAGGATTATTACAGGACAAGAAATAGCATTGATTATTAAATTTACTGAATGTAAAGTAATCATGGGTAGGCTTATTGAAGGATAGGCTTATTGTGATAAAGATACAATAGTTTTCTTTGTCTCTAGTTTTTAGGTCATCTGACTGAAGCGTCTGATGACCTATTGCGATCACCTTTTGTCCGCCATCATCCATCATAAACATTTTCAACTTCTCCTCAAGTTATACATGTCTCATTGAGCTGAAACTTACCTGAAATGATCGTGTCATGATCCTGACCAAAGTTTGTTAATTTCGGGTTGGTCCGAAATCCAACATGGCCGCCATCTTGAAAACACATTTTCAACTTCTTATCAAGTTCAAAATTTGAAATCTTTTATTTTATGTCAGATGACCGTTAAGGCCCATGGGCCTATTGTCTTAAGTTCTTTGCCTTGTAAGATGAAGTAGATGTCGCGTAACAGTACGTGGAAATTCGAAAGCTTTGGATTTTAAAGATTGGTTGTATGGATGATACCACAGCTGTCATAGATGAAGAATTTATATTGATACTGGTTTATAACTTTAGCTCTAAACTTTGCTAATTGTAACCTCTGGAAGTTTGATGGTTTATTTGTCCTTAACACTCAAGTGTGCCAATTGATTAACCCTGCTATAATGTTCAGATTACTAGAATATATATTAATGATTGAAGAAATGTTATTTTGTAATAAAGATGTCTTTGTAATATATCTACTGATTATGTGTTATTATGTGTGATAGGTTGTATGGTATGCTGTGGTAAATTCTTATGTGGTATTTGCCAACAATTTCAGACCATGGTTTACCACAAGGTATGCAGGTGAGAGAGAGATAGAAAGAGAGATGTCAGGGAGAGACAGACAGAGTGGGACAGACATCTAAACAGAGAGTTGGGAGTGGGAGCCCGAGAAAAGAGAGAGGAGGCAGCAACAAAGGAGAGAGACAAAGAAAAGAGACAGACAGAGAGGGGAGAGATGAAGAGACAGAATTGAGACATAGATGGGGGATACATAAATAGACACAAGATATAAATAGGATAAAGACAGAGATGGGAAGGTACAGAAAGAGGGAGAAACAGACATATGGAAGGAAGAGAGACAGAGATGGAAGACAGACAGACATAGATTGAGAAAATACAAAGATTGGAGAGACAAATAAAGCTATGGAGAACTGGAGAGATAAACAGAGACCAGAAGATTCAGGGACCAGGAAAGACAGAGATAGGGAGAGACAGACGGAGGGGAGACACAGGCAGACAGACGGAAGACACAGGCAGACAGAGGGGAGACACAGGCACACAGATGGGAGACGCAGGCAGACAGTGAGTTATAGACAGACAGAGGAGAGACTGGCAAATAATGGGGATAGACAGACAGACTGAGGAGAGACACAGGCAGACAGTTGGGGAAAAGCAGAAGAGACACAAAGACAGGGAGGAAAGATGACAGACTGAGTGAGGTAGAATGTCAATAACAATTTGTTATATCATTATGGGAGAACAGCATATTTTGTCTTTAATATGAGATTGCTAATATGCAATGTAATAAATGGAACCATATGATACAGCTGTTTTGTCCTTAAGTAACATATCAGTGATACCAAATGGTGAAGGAATCAGCAACATTGGTACCATTCTATGGTCAGCCCCATTGTCTGCATTTTCTTTATATTGTACTGTTGAACACATAAATAATGACTGTAAAGTATATAACGGTAAATTTTATTTAACAACAAATATAGCAGGCTTTATAAATTTGTTCCACTCACAAATATCACATATAAAATCTAATAGTAAACTATAAGAAATCATAAATATAAAAGCTTTATAGTTGGCAAGAATGACCCTTGTCATCCCTTCCTTAGCACCATAGCATTGCTGTCTCATTGTCTCGGAAGTGCTCATTTTTGTTTAGAGGGAGGACAACTCTGATCAGAACTACATCAAGTAAAGAATACCACATTTCAATGTTTCAATCACTGTTCCGTCTATTTCCTGGTATATTTAGTAGCTGTAGCTAAAGAAAGTCCTACAAACTGCTACACTGTACACATTCAAATCGAATAGGCGAACAATTATCACAAAAAGTAAAAACATGATTCTGTCTGACTGCATCTATATTCATAATCTCTGCAACGGATGGAAAAAGATAATAACCGCCATCTTGATTACCGATAACTTCTTTCACTCAACCAGATTTGAAGAGCAGAATGGCGACCTGTCCAAGGTAGAAGTAAATGAAATGCTTGGTTTCGTGTGTTACATAGCTCCCGAAGTTGCGTCCAACAATGCAGTGCCAGGTTGGGTTGAACTTTTTGTCAAACTCTTTCTTGATATAAGCGGCGATGTCTTTTTCAATGTTGTACTTCTCTAGGGCCTGTGTAGCTATATCGACCGATTCCTGCTGCATGTCTTCTGGCATGTCAGCATTCTTGATAACAGCTTTTCTATCAACCATGATTCCTAAACAAAAATGGAGACGAAACATGACATTAATAATATTTCATCCAATTTTCAATATATCCCAACTCAGCATAATTTGAATTATTGATACAAAAAAAACCTAAAGAATTTTGACGAGTTCTGTACGAGTGATTTTATTCTGGCTTCCACGAACTTTAAGAAGGAATTTGCCTCTTTCACTTAGTGAAATTATACATCATGATAAATTGACTTGATGAAAACTGGAAAGTGATTTTTTAACATTTTGATTTTGGTCCATTATTTTGTGTTAATTTTAATCTATCACTGTGAATTCCGCGAAAACAAAGAAAGCTGAACCCCTTGTCCGTCACGGAAGAAATGACCAACTCAATGGAGTTTAATTTATTAAAGATGTACAGTGAATATCAGATCAATTTTGTTCCTGGAAAATGTCAGCAGAAATGTCGTTTCATATGACATGGTGAGTCACTACAGATTCAATGATATATTCATTTGTAGAAATACAAGTGAAACTCGGCCTTACCACAAATTCAGATATAAGCGAATGTAAAATCTATGTCTGTAACATAACATTATGTATTTCTAAATTGCTCGTCGTAAATATTGCATAACTTATGGTCGTTCCCAACACCACAGTGCCAAACGCATACACACAAATAGTAGTAATTCTACAATTACGCAATGCACGTTGTCCTATACGAATTAAGATATCAGTGATATACAAGGAAATAGAAGGTTAAATTTAGATCGCACATCCTGTTGAATCATTACAACGGGCGCTAGGTCGTACAAAGCCTGGTAAGCTTTACGACTCGTTACTGCATATTCTGTTCCAACTTAGAATCTCAATCACTTTCAAACCAATTATTTTTCACTTATTTCTTCTAGTCTCTAATATACTGTTTTTATTTCTGGTCTTTCGTTTCTAGTTTTAGATATATTACGTTATTGTGATTTCCTGTAAAGCTTAAATGAGTTTGAAAACATGGGCCCACAGCAGACGTAAGGGCCCGACACGGAAGGCAAGCTATGATATTTTGTATATATGGGAAGAAGGTTATATATGTACAGTATAACAAAGTATCTAGAAAACAAACAAAAAACCGAGGGTTTGTGCCCGAAAAAAACCCTGAAATTAGTGGCATTTATGGTACTACAGAGATATTCAATATATTTCTTCATGACACATGTGCACGATCATAAATACTTAACGATGTACATGTAATCTCTATGCACTTTGTGTCCGAGACACAGCTTTACATATTTAACATTGATTGTAGCTGTTCTGCGTGTAGATACATCAAATGATAATAATTTCGACGCTTTCAGAAAAGTTATAAAAGTTAAATGTATCAAATAAAGTTACTTAAAGTGAGAGAAAGAAACAATTTTTACCTTTTTTCGCTGATTTTCCACAATGCTGTATGATGAAAGGGCAAAAAGTGATGGCAACATTTGCCACAAGCATCCATGGACGCACTTTCAATTTCATTCATTGGCTAGACACATTTCTACCATTTGACGAAATGAACGAGATTCCTTAGAGTCATATATCGAACCACAATTCACTGGGTTTTAGCAGACGGCGCCGTATATTTCACGGGAAAACAGCCGTTCAACAAACGGCGGCTCATGTTCTTTCACGCGGATGAGGTAAAATTGATGAAAGCTTTAACAGGCCAGCTTATCGACAGCACATAGACTAGCATCGTTGCTATGACAATCTGACTTGAATAGTTAGAAATTTTCCATTGCGAAGCTTTTATCATCTGTTCACACATCCATCATTTGACGACTGCCTGCTGAAACACATTACGATCTTATTGGCATTAAGTGTGATCATCGATTACACCTGCACACATTCTTACGTGTGTGTTTTAAGACCTCTAGTGATTCAAAAAGATCATCTAATATTTTCAATATATTATATATTGTACAAAGTCTTCGCTAATGTTAACTTATATTACGATTATATATTAATCACAACAACAGTCATCGCCTGTTAGGCTAGTGTCACAAGTGAGACTCCCAAAACTCCAATCTGAACGTTTATTATTGACGCCGTGCTGTGGTGTTTGATGCCGTTGTATTATACATTGTTCCCATTTGAGAACGTGACATTACTTACCTTGAATGACCAAAATTTACTTGGCGGGTGTCATCAATGAAACGGAAGACGCTTACTCTTCCAGAGCAACCGGTCTTATTCTCCTTGTACTTTTTCAGGAGCCCCCGTGTACATTTGTCTTTTGTCCAGATTATATTTTTTTGTTGACATGTCGGTACTTTCTTAATTTTTTCCCCCCAAAAAATATACTCACTAACCCCACCCCAACCCTTCCTGTTCCAACTCAATGTTTTGTTTTTAAGTTTCCGTTTGTGTTAGCCACATACACGCCTCCTTTAGTCTGGCTGCTTTTCGCGCATGAGCAAACGTTTAGACATAAACTTTAACAACATCATTTAGCTCACCCTCTTACCATTCACTTATGTGTCATTTGTACAAAGGGTATTGTGTCATCAACAGGGACGCATTAATAACTAATACAGAAGTCCTCACGTAAGAAGGCTTTTATTTAGCACAGACATATACACTTGTACTCTGTTGACTTTCAGATGAATAGTATTACGCTGAAAGTCCGTTTTCTTGTACCTTGGAGTTACAGAGCAAGTTTTCTGTATTTCTATCCCCAATCCTAACTTGCACAGGGCCGGCGGAACGAGTGGGGGAGTGAGGGCTAGGGGGGGGGGGGGGGGGGGGGGGGGGGGGGGGGGGGGGCTTTAGCCTAGCCACTACCACCACCCCCAATAATTTTGTCAACATAAAAATAAAAATTTCAAATTGTGCACATGATATTTAATATTCAATGAATATAGTATATATATTCATTTCTTTGAATCATATCGTTGAAATATTTCACTCTTCATAATATGAAAAGTTTAACTTGATCTTATCGAACAAAGAAACTATGCGAAATCAGTCATCTGATGTGAAGTTTCCAAATACCCTCTCGCGGTTTTCATTGTTTACAAATTCATTTGCAACATCAACGGAATTAATAGATGCAGTCGCCTCTTTGTGGACATGAACCCAGCAGGCATTGTACGTCAAATTTACGTCATATTTTCGTCAAATGATGGTCAGGACGTCACTGACGAGTATTTGACAAAGATCTGACGTAAATACCCTGACGTCAAATTGATGTCAGAAGTAAAACGTCAGATGTACGTCAAGTGGCCAGAAAACCTGACGAAAATAAAATGTTCACAAAATGTTGATTTTGATTTCAGAAACGATCTCGGGTAAGCGTACTGTTACAGAAAATACTGCTTGTCCCACCTCCCGCCCCTTCAGTTCTAGTTTTGTCATGATTGAAACAACATTCATGTGATATGATACTCTTTATCCTTCATTAAGCAGTTCTTTCTACAGCTTCATAATTTTAACCAAGCTGTATAAATGGAAAAAAATATCTTGGTATATATTGTGGTTGATGTCAATCTGATTAAAATCCAGATCCCAAAATACATCACCAAATGCCGGTGGGTTTTTTTTTCTCTCCCTTTAATGGCACATCGAAATTTCGAAAAATAAAATCATCACAAATACATCTACACGATAAGAAATTGTTCTGTGTCAACAAAAAGCTTTTGTTGGCTATTTGATGCTTTAATTTAAAAATTCAACTACTTTTAGTAAAATATGGAACGATATGAATATCATCACCGGAGTAGTTCGTTCATACTTCCTGTCATTTGAAAATTCTAGCGGGCGCTGAGTGTTACGGCGGGAAACGAGGTCACATCGGTTTTTGAATTTTTTTTACATTTACGTTTGGATTTTTGTCTACAGCTGGTTTATTTTGCTTCATTCTCGGAAAAGGTGAGTTGGTTTATCGCTCAATGTCTGAATTTGCACCGTTATAATTTTACTTTACAGATTACACGAGGTTACACAACTCGTGGCCACCGGATATGGTATTTCTTTCACTCGAGATAGGCTAGTTATGTTTCAAAAGTTATAATAGAAACTCGCTAAAGCTTGTATCTTTTGTAACTTAAAAAAAAATAACCAACTCGAGTGAAAGAAATGCAATAACCAGCAGTATTTTCTCTACTTCTAGCCATACAGAATACACAAAGAGATACAGCACTTTTTTGCTAAAATTTTCATATAACGTATCTATAAATCATTTTCACAAGTTGAATTGTTTTGGGATTTTTTAACCAGGTTTACTGTGCATACATCAATATTTTGACAAAATTGGCTGATATTTGAGAGAAAAATAGTTAATGTACAAATGTAGGTATGTGTGATATGGATATTCTACCTAAGGGTGTATAAGTTGGGGTCTTAACGGAGGCTTCAAAGGTTATAACCCAAATGGCTCCTGTATGTGTGGTGCAAATTTTGAAGATGCTATACACTTTTTCTTCCAGTGTCCTCTTTACTCACATATTAGACATCATGTTAATTCAGTATATGATTTATTAGGAAATGTTAACCTTATTGCTTTGCTTTATGGTATCATTGGAATGTCGGATGAATTTAGTAGTTTTATACTTTATCATACTAGTTCTTATTAAAAAAAAACTAAAAGATTCTCAATTTACAAGTAATAATATATACATACAAATCCTATAGTTATAATATTTAGTATACTTAAGTAGTTGTAGATGTAGTGTGGGAGTGAGTATGTGAGTGGTTTATTTTCTTTTCTTTATTCTCTCTTTATTATTATAAACTGAAAAATACCATCCTATTATAAAAAAAAAAATGAATATATTAATTAATTTAAAATATACCGGTATCATTTGGGAAAAGACTCAATCCCATTGTTAATACTAAGTTTAGACTATTTATTTATAATATGTTATATAATTTGTTATGTATACTATTTATTAACAATAAAATATTTTGAAATTGAAAAAAAAAGTTATAACCCAAACTTCTTCACCTTGGGTAGAATATTCATATCCTACATTCTTCTTTAAATCTTTAAAGGAATAAATTTTCTTCCCCATTGCAATATTTTTTAACATTAAATGCAATACTAGAATAAAATAAAGAACAACAAATGTTACATTAGTATTAAGATCTATTGCATTGATCCTTTCAGAAAGCACACAAAGGTGTACAGACTGCAGAGACGCTGACCTGGAAGCAGTGATCGGGTACACATTAAAACATGTGCCCGACAGGAAAAGTGGAGAAGGAGGAAGACACCAGTAAATAATGTTATCAACATTTATTTACATGAATCTCTGTACCAACAATCAATATTTAATATTGCAAACCTATTTTCAGGCATAAAGTTTCATGGGAAAACTTCCTCTTTTATTATCTCTTATTTGTATTTAATAATTTGAAGTCCTTCTTGTAACATATTGTGACATTCATGTATTGGGAAAAACATTGTCAACTTTTCATGGGAAATATGGTATACAAATCTTAATTTTAAGGGTTATTGGTATTATAATAAAATATACATTAATTTTGTTAGGGGCTCACTCTAACAGAGAATTAATATGAACATTTTATGTTTCAAACATTTTGTAATTTGTGCATTTGGAATGTTTCATGGTTGCTTTTTGTGTATGTATTTATAAATTAGGTTTTATTGTAAAATCTTGAAAAGAAAATGAATATTTTGTTTCTATTGTGCATGTGTTAAGATAATGACTTTGATAGAAAATTTACACATGAGAGTTCATATATACAGAAGCTTGTTTTTATTGTCTTTAAGACTAGTTTTGTTATATTTAAACAATGAAGATCATGTCATGAATAATTTCTTTTGTCGCTCTTGTCATTTTTGTAAATTTGTTGATTATTGTCATGATACATATATAATTTTTTTGCATTTATGCTATAAATAAAATTTGTAAGAGGAACTATATTTTGATTTATTTCATTAATATTACTTTTTAATTCTTCAAAGCATCCGCAACGTAACGCATCTGAAGTCAGATTCTGACTAATAAATGACGAAAATCTGACGTAAAATACTGACGTAATATAGATATCAGACATTTACGTCAATATTACTTTCATTTCTGACCATTATTTGACGTAATCCTGACGTCAGGATTAAGTCCAAATCCGACGTAAATTTGACGTAAAATGCCTGCTGGGAAGTAGCATGCAGTTGTTCAGACGTTCTTGTGTCATTGTTGATCACAGATAGGCTTTGATTCTGCGCAATGCTGATGCTGACCGTTCACTCACAGCATTGGTTGCTGGTATCAAAAGTAACAATTTCAGAAGTTTTACAACTTCGCAATCTCTCGTTGACTACCTGTTATTTTGCGATTACATTTTCATTGTGGTATAAACAGCAGACGAAATCAAAATACGGTCCTGTAACTCCAGCAAAATTAGGTAAGCTCCTTATTTTCAAAACACAGCAGAAAATTTCTTTCAAATACAAATTATACCAATACAACATAAG